GAATTATAATGTGCGCGTTGTGAAAAATATTTATTATTATAATTTAAGGGCGGTCGCGGCTTATTATAAATGGCTGTCGATAAATGTATGTAAAATACTATTGTGTCACAAATAGTCAAAAAATTTATGATTAAAAACAATCCATTGTTTTTTTTTTTTTTAATATCTTTGTCTGACTATCGAATAAAATCATTTTGATTTTATTTATTGTACGTAACAAAAATATATCTCTAATAATTTTTAATAATTATTGAACAAAAAGGACCACAATTTTTACAAAATTTTTTAAATGATTTTCATAATATTTTACAAATTTTTTCACTGTTGAAAAATTATAGCGATTAAAATAAATTTTACAATTTATTATTCACTTATTTAGTGAAAGACGATTTTTGGGTATCCGTTTATTGCATAAATTTCAATTAGTAATTAATTCTTATCAATAATAACAATGCAAACTTGTTTAGGTTGTGAGAGATGAGCGTTGACTTATCGTCTGCCGTGTATACCTTAAGCCAGGTTGTGGAATGCCTCGCGATAACGTCCAGAGTGTAATTATAAATTATAATTGATTAATTAATTAAATTATTCAAGGCTAAATTTATAAATTAGTAATTTTAAGTTTACGTCCAAAGAGAGTATGTATATATAGTTAAAGCTAAATCTTTGAATATGTATCCACGAATATAAAATTGCAATATAAATTGTAATTTTTAATACTTATTTTATCTACAATATTATAATAATTAATTTATTTAAGTAATAAAATTTTTTTTAATTTTTTTTAACATAGCCAAAAAAAATAACAATTGTTTGGTCGATTCGACGAGTGCAGAGACAGACTGTGATCCGCATTTGAATGTTATTTAGTCTTCAATAGAGACACGATTAATAAGTGAGATATATGTTTAAGATATGAATGAATTGTATGAACTTAATTAATACTATAAGATAATATTATATACATATAATTTATAATTAAACGTTTAAATATTTATTGAATAATAAGAAAGTGCGTATAAATTTAATCTATAAATTGTTTGCCTCGTACGTTAGTAACTAGCTATGACAATTTGGTTGACAATGTTATTAATTATATATTAAAAGAATAATAATTAAAATAATCTGTATATAAATGTAAACATTTATAATTAAAACATATTAAATATATAAATATATATATATATAAATGCTCGAGAATAAGAGTTTAAATAATTGACAAATTATTAACTATTAAAATTTACACAGATGATGTATACCGATGTACACATTATGTATTTATGAATTATATAAATATAGAAATAAATATTAACTAGTAAATATGTGTTGTAAAATTCAGAAGCAAGCTCAATTGTATAATTGAAACTAAATTTTAAAGCACAGAAAGATGTAAATTTTTAAACAAAATTCAATTTAATAGGGTCGACAAATTGCCTTTTGAACATTTTTAACTATAAGAAACATCATTCAGGTAAGTAAATGACCTAGTTTTTTTAACACTGAGAATGTAGAACAATAATAGACCTGGTTTTGAGACGCTATAGTTGACGAACAATTTTTTATGTAGAGAAAATAACAATAAATTAAATATCCGATGGACAGCTTTAATACAAACTTGAGACACTCACAATAATAAATAATTATAAAAAATTAACACTACACTGAGAGAAAAATTTGTAACAAGAAATTAATTTGTTTAAAATTTTAAACAATTTTATTTCTAAGCTGAAGAAATAAAAATTCTTCTCACAGTAACTTACTTGTTAAAAAAAAAAAAAAAAAAAAAAAGTGTTTTTGATTTGTAAAAAACAATTTTTCGTAGACAACTTGCAAATTTTCATCCAAAATTGTTCTTTTCTAAATCTAAAAAACTTTTTTCAACAAGAAATTATTGCAAGAGAAATTTTTGTTTCTTCAGCTAAGAAATAAAATTGTTGAAAATTTTAAATAAATTAATTTCTTATTGCAACATTACTTATTTTTTTTCTCACTATACTTTGATACTTTTTTGATTTAAAAATCAAATTTTAATAAGTGTTATTTTACTATTTTGATATCTTGAACTATTTGATTAAATTTTCCGAGAGCTAAAATTGAAAAATATCGAAGTAAATGTGAAAAATAAAACATAATATTGTAGATTGAAAAAAATTAAAGTATCAACATTATTGAAAATAGCAGATATAAAACATTTTTTTAGTGCAAAAAAAAAAAATTGTTAAATATCTGCAATTTTCTGACTTATAATTTCAAATATTGCGCGTTTTTAATGTTAAATATAAAAATATGTCAATAACAAAAATTTCTATATTACCTACAAGGCAGTGAAATGTGTACTCATTTACTCATTCTATTTCTCCAATTTTCATAAGAAAAAAAAATTTTTTATCCCACTATTCTAAAAATTACTACAAGGCATATGTCCAGATGCCCCACTCCAATAATATTTGTTAACAGCGTACTTTTGGACTATATAATAAAAATGAAAAAAGAAAAAACTATATTGCGTGATTGAAAGTAGCGTATGTAAGTGATTTTTTAGTTTTTAAATGACTGTTTATAACGGCATTCTGATAAATTATTTATCTAAATATACCTCAATAAGTTTTTCACTTAAAAACTTAAAATAGCTGGTTGAAAAGTGATTAGATTACTTTTACAGTTGAACAAAAAATAAATAGATATAAAAGTAAAATAAAAAATAAGAAAAAACCAGTATTGTGTTTACGCTATGATCATAAGTGACTACGTGTTACGGCGAAGACGAAGACGTTGATAAAAATACAAAATCATCATCATGGCACCATCAAAACGAAGACCCCTGCACAATTCTACGGGAAGTGGCTCACCCGGGAGTAGTTTTAGATCACGTGGAATGAACTTTCGTCCTAATTCTGGAGTCCAGGAAGACCGTGGGGGAACACGACCTACTGCACCACCGAGCTCTGTAGGTGCTATACTAATTAGTATGGTAATTCATTTATGTAAAAAATCATTGCTCTTTGAACCAAGATTAAAAATTGTTATTTACTGCGGTGCTATTTTTATAGTGTCACTTATAGCTGACTTTATTCCTATGCCTAAAAGTTATTTTTCAAGATCTGACAACATATTCAATCGTTACTTCGTCAAATGGGGCTGGGGATGGTTATTAACAGTGACGATACCATGGGTTGCATTGACAGGACATACACTAGGCTGTGGAAAACGTCCTATTCTGGTAAAACATTTAGCTAGAATTGTTTTAGCAACAGCAGCCTGGTTATTATGGACCAAACTCTTCCATTTTATTGAGACAAACCATGGAAGGTGTTTGAATACTAAAGATTTACAGCTGCAGACAAAGACTAAATGCTTGCAGGCGGGTAAATTTTGGAGTGGGTTTGACATTTCTGGTCATACATTTATATTAATATATTCGAGCTTGATTTTAGCCGAAGAAGCTTCCTCATTTCTTGGATGGGAAGGCATCAGAGATCTCATCATGAAAGAAGAATACAGTCGTACTACCAATGAAATAAGCTCTGGCATGCTACGAAATTTGTCAGACACTGATTTAGGATTTCTCAAGAAAGCCCATAATGTATTTACACCTTGGTTACGAGGATTATTTATTATAATGACTCTTCAGCAGCTGCTCTGGGATATTATGCTTGTTTCTACTATTTTGTACTATCATATAATGATTGAGAAATTCATTGGTGGAGTTATTGCTATCTTAACGTGGTATGTAACTTATAAATGGTTATTTAAATTGCCAAAATGCGGATTGTTGGCGCCTGGTGAAGGTGTATTCAGGTATTATGAACCTCGAGAACCACTGAGTACTCCTCCGTCATCGAGACTTAGACGGTCAACACTTAATGGAAATACTCCTACGTTCATGGGAATGCCTATTCGTACTCCTCAGCCGCAGTCTCAGCAACAACCACCACAAGCTAGTAATGATACGTTTACATCAAGACAAGACTCAGATACTATTTCCACTCGATAATATATATTAATAAAAAATTTTTTATGGTAATTGGGTTTGTACAGTACGTTCGAAAAGTGATATTCACTTTATAATTTTTTTAAGTAATCATATCAAATTATGAATTGAAATCAAAATATTTCGATATTTACAAAAATTTTATAAAAAAATTACAATCATTGAATAAGTCAGATTTACTAGACTATTGTAATTATTGTAATTATTTTTTTTTTACGTACTGTTTTACCTATTTCTTAAAGTCAGTTTTTATTCAATTGATACATTTATACACTTAGAATCATTTATTTGATCAAATCTAATAAAACAAAAAAAATAAACACTTTTTTCATTTTCATAAAAGTAATACAAGTTTTTGAAAATCATATTTGCAATAATTTATATTATGACTAAAAATATAAATCTTAAAAAAATTATATTTTCAAATTATTTATGGATTGTTATTAAAATTCTAACAAAAACGTTTGTATTTATGCTATAAAATTTACTAATTTATTGTTTATTAATTATTAGGTGTTTGATCTTGTTATTTATTAGAATTAACTCAATCTATAAATGTATGAATGTATGGTTTAATATTGATTGTTAGGCTATTGAGTTAACATTTATATAATTTTGTGAATATGGATGTTTTTTCAATCATAAAATGAGTACAAATAAAAGTATAAGATTATAAAAATTATATGGGATAATAATAATAATAATAATAATAATAATAATATATAATAAATAATTTGTACGAAAATATGGGGTAAATAAAAAGTTTAATTAAAAATAAAATTTAATTTAATATTTTGCAAAATTGCAGCCATAATTTCTTAACGTATCATTAATATTTATTTAATATTTTAATTAAAGTAAAAACTATAAATAGTGACATGGAAAAAATATCATTCATTTAAAACTATAATTAATTTTTTAAAAGTCATTTGATTTTCTCGACAGCCAAGTCATTGATCGATAATAAATTTTTTTTGGCTTTAGTTTAAAATTAACCTTTGAACTATATTCATTGTGACTGGCTGTCTACTTGCATATAAAATTGTTCGCCAAACCATTCTCTGTGTGGTTCCAAATAACTAAAAAAATAAAAAAAAACAGTAAGTATTGTAATAATAATAATTAATATTTTTATAGAAAAATAAATAACATACCTTAAAAACATATCGATATATTTTAACAACACTTTTAATTTCTTTTCAGGCATATCTGTATTTTGTAACAAATCTGGAAGTTTTACTGAAATATTAAAAAAATAAATGTGTTTAAATTTTCCAGCTACAGTTGATATTTAATATAAAACTACAAAATTAAATAAAAATAACTTACCGAACAGTCGAACAAGGTGAATAGCTCCGAAATAAGTCGAAGGACTTGGTGCTCCGTCATTTTTATTAGATTTCGGGATAAGCCTCCACTTATTAGCTTCACTGAGCAACGCAACAATCTGTGCTGGAGGTAGCATAGGATACCTTGAGGTAACTCCTCGAGGGCTAGAGCACCGAGAACTAGTGCTAGCGATACTGGAAACATTCCCAGCTTCCTGTTTAATTTCTTCCGACGACCTGAGTTGTCTGGCATCGTCCACAGAGCTAACACGCGAGGATCTCAATTTCCGTTTGACTGATGAGATAGGTTTGGTTGGTTGCTCACCGTCAGCATCCTGCTCTCTAAAGGGCGGTAAATGGGCATACTCAGAATCTTCAAGCTCCTCTTTGACAATAACCTCCGGTGGTCTGACAATTATCATATTATGAATTTATAGAAAAAGCATATGATATAAATATAAGTTAACGAATTATAAATAAAAACTTACTCAATAACTTCTTCTTTAATATCAATAGGATGTTCGCCGAGTAAAAATGACGATTTAAATGCATTGTATTGCTCCCTTTCCGTTCGATAAAGCAGTAATTCTGGCAACGTAAAATCAAAGTATATCCTCAAGCCATCAGCAACTTCTCGGCAAATATTTATCTCGTTTACAGTCTTTTCAATAGTATTACTAGATCTATTATTCCTTTGAGGCTTTTCAGGAATACTTGTAAGTTGTGTCGTAGTGAAATGCTGAACCCAAGACTCAAGAATACTACAAACGGTTGGTTGAGCCGGTAGAACAGCCAGTTTATTTTTATGATTTACCAGCTCGTAATCTTGCTCCAAAATTCTCCTTAGCGTACTGCCAATGTCAAGATCAACACCAGGTTTCATACTGCCGCTAGACTGATGGCTTCCTCCACCACCGCTATCCTCGTCTTCACTGGATTCCTCCCCAAAGTTAGAACTAGTCTCAGAATCTTCTTCCGTGATGACTTCCTGGTAAAAAAAAGAAAAAAAATTATTCAAAGAAAAGATTAAAAATAAAAATCTAAAACAATAAATTTTTAATTAATAAATTAATTATATATATATATATATATATATATATATATATATATATATATATTATTGGATTCGTTGAAGGTACTTCGGTATCGTAATCATCCTGTTGACCTGAGCTACCATCTTCAGAGGTAGTGCCAGAAGTGGCGCGACTTCCACCGCTTCTAGCACGTCGACGTGACTCGATGCCTGCACCGGACAGTTGATCAGCCAGTCTGTGTGTGCGATTTTTTCGTTCTCGACGATATAAATATGCTCCTCTGTTTTTGGAAGCCATTTATTAAATTATTATTCGTCTATTTTATTGATACGCAATCAAATATAATATATTTATAGGTTAATCCTATAAAACATACGTACAGTTGTAACTGTGCTTTCTGAGCAAGATCCCGTTGTAACTGTCGGTTTTCTTCTGTGTCTTTTAGAACGTATTCCTCCGTCACACACCGATCCCAAGACGAGTTCCATCCCTAATTATAAATTACGTTACTATTAGACACTTTATCTTGTTTATATAAACAACAACAATAACAACACCAATAGTTGGATAGAGACAATAACACAAATCCCAGATCCGGTTTAATAATACAGGTTAGATATATATGTTGATATACCTGGAAGTGTATTAAATATTCAACTGCCTTTCTACCTCGTTGATCCTTGTTAACAATCACATCTAAAACCTAGAATTTATTCAGTTAACGTTAATTTAAATCGTAAATCATAAAATAAACTTTGACACTGCTAAGTTGGAGGTTACATTTGTGGCGCCAATTTGTACGCCGGGAACTTACGATATTTTAAGGATTATTTTCCAAATAATTAACATTTTATTGTGTTATTTACCTTTGAATCGTAGAGTACTTTAGCTTTTGTCGGATCGGGTTCATAACAAAGAACTTTTTCACCATCACAGAATTTGAATTTCGGACCCCGCGTTGAAACCATTTTCTCATCGATGTCACTAAATTCAGAGTGATTCAGAGTAACAATATCCTTTACACCAAACTTTTATTATTATTATTATTATTATTTCACGAACAGCTGAAAAACTAAATATGGCTTACAATAAATCGGAAATTACCGATTTTATCCGATGTTTAAATTTATTCGACACAATGAACCACAATTTATTAGTAAAAATTCATAATTATTATTGGCAATAATATTAATAATAATAATAATAATAATAATGGTCGATATAAAAAAATTATGTAATTTTAAAAACAAATTGTATATAATTCAATTTGAATATTATTTTTACAATGCGTTTCATTGATTCTTTACGGTCGGAAATTTTACAGAAAATGGAAACATCAAATTTTGAAAATCTGTGAGTAAGGAAATCAATAAATGAAAAATATGGAAAAATAAGATTTCAGAAATAATAATAAAATTATGTGTCTTATTGAGGATACTTTGCAATATCGATTAGTTAAAAAATAGCAATGAAAAAATGTAGTAATCAAAATAATTAGAATTATTTTAAAAAAGATAAGCGTAAAATTATAAAATCAAAAAAAAAGATTTCCGTGTGAAATTAGACGCATCAGAATATAAACATCTAAAATGACTGATATTTAAAAAAAAAAGAAAAGAATAAATTCAGACAAGTCGAAAAAAAGACAATTATAAATTTAAAAACATAAAAAAAATAGACAGTCATTAATATTCGTAAACTTAAAATATGGAAATCTGTAAATACGGATAAATATAAATTCTGATAATTTATAAGAAAGACAATTGTAAACGTAGTCATCATACGAATTGAGCGCGAAGGAATTTTAAATACAAAATATAACAGAGAGGAGATATATTTTCCTGTGACCGCTGCTCCGGGAAGTTGTGCAGTTATTTGCGACGTTGTGTCTTGGATTTTTTAAAAATATAAAGTTGTTTCCCGATACTGGTATTAAATATTTTTAAGGGCCGATAACTGCCACCAGCGACTGCAACCGCTGCTCCAGGAAGTTGTGCAGTTATTTGCGACGTTTAGTCCTTAATTTTTAAAAAACACCAAGATTTTTTTTTTTATTTTTGTAAAAACTATTCCTGTGACCGCTGCTCCAGGAAGTTGTAAAGTTGTCGGTGACTCTGTGTCCTGAATTTTTTAAAAATATAAAGATTTGTCTCCCGATACTGGTATTAAATACTTTCGGGGGCCGATAACTGCCATCAGTTCTTGTGACTGCTGCTCCAGGCAGCTGTGAAATCTTTTGGGACATATTGTTCTATAATTGTCTTTCTTATAAATTATCAGAATTTATATTTATCCGTATTTACAGATTTCCATATTTTAAGTTTACGAATATTAATGACTGTCTATTTTTTTATGTTTTTAAATTTATAATTGTCTTTTTTTCGACTTGTCTGAATTTATTCTTTTCTTTTTTTTTAAATATCAGTCATTTTAGATGTTTATATTCTGATGCGTCTAATTTCACGCGGAAATCTTTTTTTTTTGATTTTATAATTTTACGCTTATCTTTTTTAAAATAATTCTAATTATTTTGATTAGTACATTTTTTCATTGCTATTTTTTAACTAATCGATATTGCAAAGTATCCTCAATAAGACACATAATTTTATTATTATTTCTGAAATCTTATTTTTCCATATTTTTCATTTATTGATTTCCTTACTCACAGATTTTCAAAATTTGATGTTTCCATTTTCTGTAAAATTTCCGACCGTAAAGAATCAATGAAACGCATTGTAAATAATTCTAATTATTTTGATTACTACATTTTTTCATTGCTATTTTTTAACTAATCGATATTGCAAAGTATCCTCAATAAGACACATAATTTTATTATTATTTCTGAAATCTTATTTTTCCATATTTTTCATTTATTGATTTCCTTACTCACAGATTTTCAAAATTTGATGTTTCCATTTTCTATAAAATTTCCGACCGTAAAGAATCAATGAAACGCATTGTACAATTTAAAAAAAAAAATTTTTAGTTCTAATTTAATAAATTAAACAAAATTAAAGAATAAAAAATGTCAGCTAACTTTATTATTATATTATAAAAACGAATTCTAACTAATGAATTGATTAATGATAACAAAATTTTCAGTTTATCATCTATGTCATGGTGTTACTTACATATATATGTATTATTATATAAATTAGTTGTTACAGTTTTATACTAAACCTTATCCTGTTTAAGTATTCACATCAAGCTATTTGAAGAGAATAATTTTCAATTCTTAAGCAATTTACTTAATTGAAAATTTTACTATTTACATTGACATGGATATTATTACTGCACCTCAGGATCCGATAGCAACTGAATGACTTTCATAATTTCAAGGAAGAATTTCGATTTCGCGAAGTATACGTAAGTCTTGTTATATATAAGTGACATATAAAAAACTTTTTTTTAACAAACTACTTTAATCTCGAAAAAGACTGTTCGTTCAGGAAATAAAAAATGTTTTTCTTAATCAATGATAAAATTATTATTTTTTGTGGAGGTCCTAATAAATAAATATATTTGCGATTATAAATATTAATCTATGTTGAGAGAAAAAATTTCTTTTGAAAAAAATGAGCAATGTTGTAATAAGAAATAATTTTAAAAAAATTTTCAACAATTCTATTTCTTAGCTGAAGAAATAAAAATTTTTCTCACAATAACTTTCCCCAAATCTAGAATACTTTTTTTTTTTAACCAGAAAGTTACTGTGAGAAAAATTTTTATTTCTTCAGCTAAGAAATAACATTGTTGAAAATTATTTTTTATTACAACATTGCTTATTTTTTTCAAAAGAAATTTTTTCTCTCAGTGTAACTTTCAAACATGTTTGCAATAGATTACATTTTTTATTTAATTATATAATTTTTGTATCGGCAAACATGATAATAAAAGTTATCTTCATTTTTTAATTTTTAATTTCTTTGCTCATCTTCAATTAGAACTAGAACATTTTACACTTGTAAGTTTAAGTAGTTAAAAAGTTATTACTCAAAGAATATAAAACTTATTGATTTTGTTTAACTTTTATTTTTTAATATACATATAATTTTTTATAGTAAAAAATTCATCGCAATGGAAAAGTTTCATCTTTTACGGTATTCTTCATGTAAGTATTTTAGTGAATGTTATTACTATTATTATCATCATCATCATCATCATCATCAGAAAGTTATACATAATATTTATAAATATACAGAAATATTTTATTTCACACTATTTGAGGGAGGAAAAATGTCAAAATGAGTTTATTGAAGAATAAAGATACACAAAAGAACAGCGTAAGTATAAATTATTGTATGTACACATGCGTAGAAATATCAATCATCATTTAGCATATATGTGTACTATACATGTATAAAAAATAATCAATATAAGTCTTGAAGATAGTCTACTGCTCTGGCGCACGAGCCGAGACGAATAGTATGAAAAGATAGTCAGGAGTTGAGAAATAAAATTACATGGATACTTAGGGTAGAAAGATATAATTTCGGTGAGGTTATAGGATTACAGTTCAATGAAATACACCTGACTACCCTCGAGCATGACTGAGTGTCGTCAGATTCGTTTAAGTCGTTGTATACGATATAAATCAAGTGACGAGCGGTTGATTTATCGCTGCCAAAATATAGTGCTGTCAACCTATGCTAAGAAGAAAGAGAGTCAGAGTACTAGGACATAGTATAGAAAATACTTATCACAGATATATATGTATATGTGATTGTTGTCACTGGGTCACTGGGTAATATTTTGTGAATATCATTTATAATATTAAATACAAGCCGAACAATGTTTGAGGGTGCAGTGGCAGCTTTTTTAAATCGTCTCCTAGGAAGATATGTCGAGGATCTTGACACTGAACAATTCAATGTAGGAATATTCTCAGGTGAAACGTACCTGACGGATCTTAAGCTGAAACCAGAGGCCTTGGTACGTTTATTTTTTACTAGATTGTTATGAAACTTAAATTAGCTGACATCTGATGATTTTTAGGATTTTCTACAACAAATAGGTAAATAATATGTCATTAAAGTTAGCAGACAATTTTAATTTTTTGATTATTTTTCATTTATTAAATTAGAACGAAAAAATATTTTTAAAAAATTGCACTTATAGTTTTTCAAGTTTTTTACGAAGGAAAATTTTTTTTTATTTTGCTGTAATGATTTTTTCGATAAAAAAAAAAAATTCTAAAAATTATTAGATGTCGGCTAACTTAATTTTCATATACATTATTATAAAAAAAAAAAAATACTCAAAAATTTCATTTATAGCCGTTTCATAAAATTACTATTGTAATTTGTTTTTTTAAATGTTTTAGTAGTAATTTACATGGTGTAAAAATCCAAAACATATATATATTTATTACTTTTATTATGATTAACGTAAAATTTATTACATTGACTAATTTATTAATAATTTATTTTTAGTATCAGCTTGGGTTACCGATTAGAATAGAGATTGGTATTATTGGAAAGGTGTCTTTAAAAATACCATGGGCAGGTCTATTTTCTCAACCAATTATTTTGTGTATAGAGGTAATTAATTTCATTTGATATGCAATTATATATTTTTTCTCTCCATCATTTTATTAATGATGTAATGACATTTATATTTGATTAATTGTAGGATATTTATATTGTTACTGTACCGTCAATGTCTGGGATTTATGATCCGGAAATACAAAAAAAATTGATGCGCGCCTCAAAGAGGAAAGTCTTGGAAGATTTGGAAGGTGATGGATTACTTCGTTCAGGTCAGTTAATTATTCGGTATACACTTTTCTCATTATTCAATTTTAACTCCAGTTGATTAAAAAATATTTTTGATTATCAAATACAATATTGACTTGTAGTAAATTAAATAAAATGTTTCAGGATTACCTTCGGGCCTTCTTGACAATCTGATGGCATCAGTTGTTAAAAATTTTCAGATAACAGTGAATAATGTTCATGTAAGATATGAAGAAACTTTTTCTGATGGTTTTAAAATTGCTTGTGGATTATGTCTACAAAGTTTTTCTATGGCTACTACTAACAAGTATGTTCAAAATAACTTTTTTTTTTTTTTTAGCAACGTCAATAGGTTTAATTTTGCCGTTGAATGATTGATTATTATAAATAAAATTTTATTGATTTTTTATAGCAAATGGAAACCTGGCGTTACTCCAGTTACCTCAACATCAGTATATCAATTAATACGCGTGGAATCCCTTAGTTTATACTTAAATCCAAATGGAAATTCTTCATTACCATTTTATCCAAAAATATGGGATTTTACAAATCTTTTGGCCTGGAAAGCAGTTATGCATCGTTCTTTAAGAACTTTTGCTATAAATAGTGAAGAATTTCAATTTCGTAAGTTTAAAATTGAATATATTTTAAAAATAAATATTTTGATAATAAATTTCTTAAAAATTAATTTTTAAAATCACTTTTAGTTATTAAACCTTTTACAACTAAAATCAAAGTGATTATGAATCAAAGTAACGAAGGACAGGCTGCTAGAATGTTAGTTGACATTGTACTTCAAGATATTGCAATGCAAATATCCGACAAGCAATTTGCTGCATTTTGTTTACTGTGGGAATCACTTCAGCAAGGCTCCGTAGAAAGGTTGACTTATTTTTCATGTAGAATATTTTTTTTTTTTTTTTCCATAAATTCATTTACTTATACAGTCATCCTTTTTTTTAGAACAAAATTAATTCAAAAATGTCACCCAGTAGTTAAAATATCTGAAAACTCAAAAGCTTGGTGGCACTACGCTTGCACAGCTATTCTTGAACAAAACATTAGGCCTTATACTTGGAAATATATAAAAACTCACCGTGAAAATTATAAAGTTTATAAAGAAACATTTATACAAAGTTTATTAAGACCAAATGATACTGAATTAAAATTAGATTTACAAAAGTACGAAGATTGTTTAACAATTTTAAACATTATTATTGCAAGAGAACATGCTAAAATTGAATTAAAAGAAAATTATCCGGATTGTGTAACTGTTGAGTCTGGATCAAACATCAAACTTGCTGTTAATTGTGAAAAAATTCAAGAAATTTGCGGTATACCGAGTAGTCCGAAGCCAAATAATACAAATGACAATGAGACTAAATTTAAGCTAGAATTAATGCCTAAATATATAGAAAAAAAATACAATTTTACATTAGCTAATTGGTCGTTTAGTTTATTCAGCAATGATCGTGAAATTCTTGTGACAACAATAACGCAATTTTTAACCAGCATAGAAACACGACCTGAATGCTTAGCTTACAAAATATCAGCTCGTGCTGAAAGTCTTGTTATTGAAGGAGCTTCGTCAGAAAATGACTTGATACCTCTTGTCACAGCGGACAATATTTTAACAGGGAATGCGGCTGTTAATTTTTTAGCGATAGATTTTGAAAAAAATCCACCAAATTCAGACTACTTTAATTATGACATAAATGTTAGATTAGAAGCATTTGAAGTAACTTATCACAAATACGCAATGCTAGAAATATTAAATTTGTTTAAACGTAATAAATCTCACGTTCAGCATTTAGCGTATAGCCTCCAACGTGGCTATAAAAGAACAAAAAGTAAATGTATTACGCTTATTAACTCGATAATGAATCGAAGATTAAGAATAAATTTAAAATTAGATATTAAAGGCCCGTATTTTGTTTTCCCGGATAACGGCTCTATACAAGAAGGAGAGCATATTCTTATACTTGATTTAGGTAGAATGACGCTTAAAACAGAATTACAAGCAGTAGAAGTACAACTAGAAGATGCAACCTTAATGGAATTAGAAGAATTGCTTTATGATCGTATCCATATAGTTTTAACTGATAGTCAAATGTTGATATGTCATACTGGTGATGACTGGCGTGAATCACGGGGTTGGAAGGACTCTGAAAATCATGTTATACCTAAAATACAATCAAATGTTACCGTGTCTTTTAGTATTAAACCTGATTATCGTTTGCTACCAAAATTAAAGCTCAACGTATCTATTTCTACATTGAAAATAAATTTATCTAAGCATAAACTACTTTGTTTTAATGAATTTTTAAATCTACTATCGATACCAGATCTTGATGACATTGAAGAATTCCGACAAAGTCTATTAAAAATTCAAGAAGAAACAAGTGAATTTATTTCACTTTCATCTGAACAATTAATCCGTGTAAGAACAATCGTAGCTCTGTCATCATTTATTTTGGGCCGAGACGTATCTAATTATTCTACTGTTTTACCATCAACAATAATAACCGAATCGGAAAAAAGTATTGTTTCTTCTTCGGAATTTAGCGAAGAAGATCTTGAGCAGTGGATTAAATCAGTCAATTATTCTGGATTTGATGATAACACCTCACCACACAATCATGTTAATTTGTTACTTAGAATAGTAATAGGTGAATTGTGTATTCATGCATGTAGTACAAGTAATGGTAGAGAAAAACCGTATTTAATTCTACGTCTTTGTACACTTTACTTGGAATCTGCAATAATGGAGTACGGACCAGCTTTTCAGCTAGGAGTGGGTACTATTGTTCTTGCTGACAAAACAAACGCCGGAATTACAGGGTCTTATCTTGAGCTTATATCAACTGACGGCTCATATGATATTATCGGTATGTCTTATCGTAAAGTCCGAGCTAATTGTCCGGATTTTAAATCACATTTCAAGAGCATTGAACAATCGCTAGTATTCAATATACGTAATCTTAATGTTGTTTTTCACCAACAAGCTTTTCTTAAGATTAAGGACTACTGTGACGATTTAAAAACTATACCATTTCCTGGACAGATACCGAATATCATTGAAATAATAAAGTATGCATTTAATTTCTTAAAAAAAAATGAAGACGATCCACCGGTACCGCCTGGCGCTATTAAACTCAGTTATTCGGCGAGACTTCATACATTTGTACTGCGACTTTGTACTAAAGACATGGATCTTATGGAAATTCGTGTATTGGGATTAGAAAGTGACTGCATTTATAACGCGAATGAGAGAATGATATTAACAGCATACCTTCGTGGGCTTGCTATTGAAGATCTTAGTGAAATTACCCTTTACTCGAAAATTCTTACTACTGACGACGATAAAGTATTTGATCTCAAATATGTGAGACACGCACCAAAACTTTATTCAGCATCTGAAATGAAAGCGAGCGACGACGTTAAAACCGATGGAAGTTTTAAACTTTCATTTGGAAAAATAAATTGTATATTGTTATCAGAAGTATTTCGGGATTGTCGGCATTTTATAGAACCTTTTATACATCTTATTAAATCAATTATGCCAGCTCAGGCATCTCAGCTTTTTGTTTACTGGAGTGTTGAAGAGTTGAGAAAAAGTCCCACAAAATTACGAATTTTTATTGATTTTCAAGTCCCAACGTTTCTTTTGCCACAGGCAAGAGATGTGCCCAATGTCATCCTTTTAGATCTGGGCATTTTGACGATTGAAAATTTTTTTAAGATAAATGAAAAGATACGAATCACTGATGAAAGCATTCGGGAAAATTATTCGTCTGTCCTGGACAATATCTTGATTAAATTTTCTTCTATGACTTTGTCACGAGCTATCATGACACTCGCTGGTGTTTTAAAAATCCAAGTAAGTTTATTTTATCTTATGATTTGTTTATTTATTTAAAAATAAAAAATTTTTTACATTTAATAAAATAACATTTTCTTTAAGGAACCAATCATAGAGCCTGTTCAAATTCGGTTGGATGTAAAGAGAAATATTGAATGTCGTAATAAAACAGGGCTTCAAGTGTACGGTCTTTGTGAAATTATTGGATCTGTGGACTTACTCATGATTAACTTAAGTCAGAAAGACTTCGCGTCAATTTTGATTATTTGGGAGGATAATTTATCAAAAATAATAGCAATTCATCAGAATGATACAATTGATAATGAATCGTTGAAAAAAACAATTAATTTTGAAAATGAAGCAACGGTTAAAAAACTCGAGGTCTTTTTTATTCAAGATGAAAATCCAATCCGTGAGATAAATATGAAAATTACATTTGATGGATTACAATTTAATTTGTTTACAGACTCAGACGAGGTACTTACCTATTTGTATAGTCATCTATTTTCATTTATCAATTTTATTTTTATTTATTTATTATTTTTAGTATGATTTATCACAATTTGTATTAAGCAACCATTTTTTGCATCAATCTACGTAGACATTAAAGTTATGTAAGGTTTTTATTTATTTTTTTTTTTAAATTTCTATTGCGCTTTGTTATTAATTGATTTTTTATTTGCACAAATTTATCTTAGTAATAAGTAATAAAGAATGAAGTTATGTTGATTATTAACTTTTGTTTTTAATTAATCATTACAACAGGTGTTGAGTTCGCCAGTACGTGACTTGAATGACGGCTTAGGAAAGCTTACTCTTGGTGAAATAATCATGACTTTTGAGCTATACAGCAACAAAAGTATGAGTATGAAAGTTTCTTTAAGAACTTGCATTCTAGAAGACACAAGAAAAGAAGAAACAGTAATTCGCAAGTACGCATAACTTTTAACGTATCAAAATTATTTTTTATAATATTTATAACTATGAAAATTATGGTAACAATAATAATGAATATTTTAGAATAATCCAATCACCAGCAAAATCAGCAGGACTGAATTTTGAATCTTGTATCTCAGTATCCGAACCACCAGTATTTGACTTTACTTTCACACAAGCTCCAGCAGGAGATCAGTGCATTGATATGCTCATTGAAGAAACTCGATTCAACTTATCAATTCCATTTTTACTACAGCTAACTCGTTATTTTGTTGACTCCCTGCCTGCTGAACCACCAGATACCGGTGTTGTCAATGAAGCTTATGAAGGACATGCAGAGAATCCTGCTGAGAAGAAAAAAGTGTTCCGAAAATTTTCAACTCAAAATATAACAGATTTATCCGAACAATCAGGTAACAAAAATTATAATTTTTTACAAGAAAATAATAGTTCAGATTAAATAAATGAAAAATTATCAATAGGTACATCGGTGTCTATACGAGTACGTAAACCAGAAGTTTTATTGTTTGGAGATTTGAAAGCTAGCAATGCCCATGCGATCCTGGTCCAAGCAGAGCTAACAATCGAGTATAGTCGCCATGCAGGAATATCATCTATTGTATGCGTGTTATCAAACGTCTGCGCTAAAAGCAAAAGTCAAGAGCGATATCGTCGTCAAGCACCGCAGTCTGTGCTACATCCTTGTGACATCGAAATCAGCGCCAAGGAGAAGTCCCCAGACGACCGAGCACAAATATGTCTCGATGTGAGCCCAGTCAATATCCATCTGTCTGCCGGAGTTATCTGCACATTCAGCCAAGTGAGCATCGTTTGTCTGTGTCTCAGCTTTGTCGTCGTTTAGAAACAAAAATTAATGTTTAATGTATCCGTGAACGGCACGTTGTGTTGTGGTATTAATGCTTAATAATTAGACTTGAATAATAATTACAATAATGAAAAATAATTTTTCTATAAATAAAAAATCAAATGTTAAATTGTTTTGAGTAGATTTTGAACGATGCTGCTGGAATTTTTCGAATCATCGATGCCAAATTTGATAACAAAAATGGAAGCTTGGAATCAAATTCGCACATCGATCTCTGGTCTCCAAAGAAAATTTTCTCGGTTCCTTGTAAGCGCAACAGTCAGGAAGAACGTAAGTTATATCTATTAATACTCTTAGAATTAAAATATGCAGATTTTTATCTAGGAATTTACAGATTCGCTGATCAACTCAGCAGCGTTGGTGAATGAGCACTCAACACAAGTGAGAATTTTTAACTTAAAACCAGTTGTTATTCATCTGGTCTTTGAAATGGAAGAAACTATTGAGCGTATTCCTATGATAAAAGCTGAAATTGAAGTAGGTGCTACAATCAGCTCTGTCAATGATAGATTTCAACTTGAATCTAATTTTAAAATTCATGCATTTTGTTATAATCACAACCGAGGTAATTGGGAACCTTTAATTGAACTCTGTACACAAGACGATGTTGCTTATAACCCATGGGAATTGACAATACGAGTGAGTACGCAATGAAATGTTTTAATTTTTAAAAGTTAATTTTTAATAATTATAAATTTAATTTTTTTTTTTTGCGAAAGGCTTATCAAGTTGAAGCACATGAGCTTAGCTCCTGCTGCCGTCACTCTTGGAATCAAATAAAAAAATCTTCACCAAAAAGACGAAGAACTGAAAATTACAACAGTGATGACGATCAAAGTAACGAAGATATGATTTTTATAAGACCCAATTCTAATCTTACGTCAAAAATAAGCTGTAATCATTCATTTTTATCAACATTCTTAGTGAAATTTTTATCTTCTGCTATAAAAAAAAAATTATTGATAAAATTTCAGTACCAGAGTACACGTTTGAACACGATGATGATTCAGATTCTAATGAAGAAGAGGGTTCTGAAAAATTAGCTAGGAGTTTTAGTCATTTATTTACAAAAGATCAAAGTGACGAAGATGATGACAGTGATTCCGACCGTTCTAGTAAATGTGAAGACGAAGGTCTTGAATTAACCCCTGATCATGTGGCTGAAATAAGTATGTTTTTGTTTTGATATTTCATTATTTTTTCTTAACTTATAATTTATTTGTATTATTTACTAGATGACTGCCTACATGATCACACGTTAATTAAAAGTGATTGCTGGGCAAACTATATTATTATCAATGCAGAAGAGCGGCTTAATTTCACTGTCACCAAAAATACTATAGATATTTTTGATATTATTCTGGAATTATTTTCAAAAAGCTGTACGGAAATTCCAATTGTCCCTACAAATGTTGGGAAATTGAGTTTACTTAACAAAATTGGGCATACTAGTAAGATAGAATTGCGAGCTGAAGAAAAAGTAATTTTGCTATAAATATTTATTAAGAGTTTTTTTTTTTATAATTTTCTATTTTTAATAACTAATATTGTCATTTATAGGGAAATAGTAATAATATTAGTCGATTAATAGCAAGTAAAGAATTCAAAATTAAAGATGATTCTCCTGTCAGTGCTCCAAGTAGTCCTGAGAGTGAGAACAATATTTTTGGTGAACAATATATAGAATACGGGTTTATGGACCAAGATGACAAGTCTTACGATAATTCTCTTAATAATTTAGTTATCTTTCCTGATCAATCTCCGGTCAATATTTACAACAGTTTAACCGAAGAGAGTCTAAGGATTTACATTGATGGTATGCTTTCATTAGTAAGAATTATGAAAAAATTATGGTTGTTTAATTAATTTTTTTTATTTTATCAATTACATAGACTTTGAAGAATCAGTGATTTTTTGTCCTAAATGGCAAGGTTATAAATTAATACCGTTACGTCCGGCAAAACACGACGTTCGATATCATCTAATTGTTGAAGTAATCACCAATCATCATTTACATCGAACAATAACTGTTCGATCGCCTCTTCAATTTCGTAATGAAACTTCGTATACGCTGGGGCTGTATTACAAAAAACAATTAGCTGAGCAATTAAAACTTGAGCACATTGGTGAAACTTTAAATCCATTTGACGACAGTATGAGGATAGCTGTCATTGAGCCTCATGATATTTACAATGTTCCTATGTATATTACTTATCATTTTCCTATTCATATCATGCCTGTACATTTTGGGTAAGTTTAATAAATTAAATTTTGATAAAGTTATAAAATAACAAAAAAAAAATTTTATTTATAAATAACAGAGAATATCAAGTAAGTGACCGTGGAATATTCTGGAAAGAATTATGTGAGCATTTAAATACTCCTCGTGATATTTATTGTCAATCTAAAGATGGAAATTCTAATTCAATATTTGGAGTTAAAGTAACTTGTAATGAGCATCCAAAATTTGAGAGAATTAATTGCCAAGTGCCACAGTATCTCATCAGCATTGTTCCACCTATAGTATTTGATAATAAATTACCATTCGTTATTGACGTTGATGTTCCATCAATAGATTATGAAGTTAGAATCGAACCAGGAGAACGGATAAACGTATATTCGATAAAATGTGACAATGACACTACAATTAATTTCAAAATTAAAAACTACCTTGGTTCTCAATGGGCTGGAACATTTAAATTAAACTCAGAATTAGAGAGAAAATTAATTAAAATGTTTGCGGACGGCGATACAGATGCTGTTTGGAGGCCATTTATGTTGTGTGTTGAATTAAATAAATTAAGTAGTTGGACAGTTGTTATTTATTCCGAGTATTGGATTATTAATAAAACGGGATTACCTTTGAAAATTCAGGTAATTTATCAACATAACTTTTTTTTTTTTTTTTATGTACTTGTTAATTAATTAAAATAAAATAATTTACAGGAAACTTTGTCAAATACCGTCGAAATTCCTGGCGAAGACTTGATAGTTTTTTCTCAGAAGAAAAATCGTCGTAAGCTTGTGATGCTAAAAGTTCATCAATCGGATTGGTCAATGTCATTTGGCTTGGATGCAATAAGTTCAATGTCTCTGATAGTATGCAAAGACGTTGAACGTAAACGAAAGTACAGAATACTTGCAGAAATAGCTGATTCAACATTATCACCAAATTTTACTAAAATTGTAACCTTTTTACCTTATTTCTTTGTGAAAAATAATACCAAACGAGCTCTAAGGTTCATGGAAGAAAACGAAGATGCTGATTTATGGAACGATTTGCCAGCAGGACAAGGTATCGCTTTCTGGCCTTACACAGAGTCCATGAAAATGAGAGTTAAATGGAAGAACAGCCAACTCGTATCTCAGCATTTCGATTTTACTAATATTGGAAAAATTGTCCTGAGAATGGAAAATGGATCAGCTCTGTGCGTTGATGTGAAAGGAGGAAATAATTCTCCTTTCCGAATAATTTTTGAAAAATACGAGTGCGGAGATGCACCGGTACGAGTTGATAATCTCTGTGACGATTTATTTTTAAAATTAAATCAAGTTAATTTAGGACAAGTAGCTTTGCTCAGTCCTTTCCAAAGTGTTCTTTATACGTGGGATGATCCTACAGAAATAAGAGAACTCGTATGGAATATTTACAATAGTAAAACTAAAAGTTATACCGCACAATTTTATACTGATGGCTACGGACAAGAGACTGTTACATTTCGAACATTGAAACGATCACCAGTTATGCCTCACTCAAATTTTATAACTAAAAAATATCCAAATGATACTAAATTTGCGCATTCTGTTAATTCGACGTCACTTTGTAGCAGCAGTGATGACTCTGACAGTGAGGCAGAGGCTAATGCTCCAACTATAGAGAAAGTCCAAAAAAATAAAGCTATTGTTTATTGGATAAGTTATGCTGAAAAGAAACAACGAGTTTTAATGTTTACTCAGGATGAAAATACCTTTTTAAAAGCTAAAAGTCTTGTGGACCCTGAGTGCAGTAAAAATGAAGTATTTTTAGCTCTAGCAGGAATTGGTTTAAGTATTATAGCAGAGTCGCAAATACCTAATACAAACGGACGGGAATTAGCATACGTTAGTATAACAGATTCAGCTGCTCACTGGGAGTTAGACATTGGAAAACGTTGGAAAGCATTGACATTAGAACTTAACGCATGGATGGAAGACAAATACAAAAATTCATCCAATAATATTGAGTTTGATAATTATATTAATGTTAATTTTGCTAAAATGCACATGACTAAACCGTTCTTTGGTAAACTTCGTCGCACATATTCACCTGGAATTTGGATTCACTTGAGAAAATCAAATACACTGACATACGTACAGGGAAACATTCACAGGATACAAATTGACAATCAATTACATGATGCTATTTTCCCAATTATTCTTCGACCTGGATCAAAAAAATGTTTCAGTAATAGCTCAGGAGTACCAAGATTGAAACACTGCATTGAATTTTTCTTTTTAAAACAAACTAAGAGTACTCATGATGTTTACAAAAAAATAAATTTAATCATACGTGAGTTTCATGTTAATTTACAAGAAGAATTTCTTATCCGATTGATTAAAGATTTATTTCCAAAAAAAAAAGACGATACTAAACATTCACTTGCATCAAGATTAAAAACCGATTTATCGAATGTTTATGTTTCTTTGCCTTGTCTGCCAGATAAACAGGATCGCAATCGTAGTAATATTATTGAACTTGTGTATATTGCACCTATACAATTGCATGTTAAATTTTTGGCCTCCGCTGAAGCAAGAGTTATTAGCCAAGACCCGATGGATTATTGTAATATTATACGAATGATGTTTGCATATGCCAGCAAAGGAACATTTTTAAAACAAGCTGAGTTCAGGTTACCTCACTATGAACGTATTGACACTATGATGGACAATGAAGAATGGTTATTAGATGTATGGAAAAATTATAAATCCGAGCTGAGGCATCAGTTTAATGTATTAATACTGTCAATGACAGTCTTGGGTAATCCCTATAGCTACAACTTTAAATGCCCTGGAGATAGTTTCTATGACACGGATACTTTAGTTATACAGGGCGATGAAACGGCTGAGAAACTCAGCTATAACGTTGCATACCTTTTAGGATATTCGTGTATGGACGGCCTATTTACTCCCATTATCAATATTAATTTATTTGAACCAGAAACATCTCGTAATAAGGTAACATAAAATTATTATCTGAGTTAACATCAACAACAAAAAATCTTTATAAAATTTATAAATTTTTACAGAGAAAAATTTCACGATTCGAGAGTACAGACACTCCGTTATCGGCGTTAACACTGGATAGATCATATTCAATCGGTGTTGAATTAGAAATGTCTGGCTTGATAGTTAAGCCATCAGATAGTAAAGTTTTATATATTATAATTTATTGTCCATAATTTTATTAATATGAATTTTAATTTTTTTTTAAATAATTATTTTATGTTAGATACTCATCAAGAAGAATTAAAATATTCTTTAAAAGCTCTCAGCAAAGGAATAATTGGAATATCTAAATTAGAGGACGGAAAATCTTCATTAAGAATTCAACCTGGTTTAATATTAGACACGATAAAAAGAGCTCAAGAAATGGGATATAATTTTATATCACGAATACGCTTTCCTCGTTATATTAATCCGTACCTGGTAGAATTAATTGCTTATATTAATATTTTTTTAATTCATAAATAAGAAATTAATTAAATGTGTAATTATTTTCTTTTAGGCAGTAGAACTATACTCAACTTACAAAGCTCGTGGAATGTATCTTTTAAATACAATAATAAAGAGTGAATATGCGAATGCTGAAATTTACTGGGCTCATGCTGCACTTTCTAATGACGGAAAACACATAGCTCTTGTGTCTTTACAGTAAATATTTTTTTTTTTTTTTTTTTTATAATTATAATTATTGTTGAATGTATGAAATTAAATATTAAAATTACTTCAGGAAAATTTATCTCGTGGAAAAACGATGTAGCATTTGGGCATCTTGGCACGTTGCATGGTCCATCGAAACGAAAGAACTTATAGAACCACCTGTTGTTGATGGAAATAAACTTATTCTTCATGTGAATAAAATATCACAGGTAATGACAAAATGTTAAATAAAAAATAAATTTTTATTATTTCAATAATAATAATTGTAATTAATATAACTGGATTGTAGAATCAAATTCTATCGCAGACCACAGCAGATTGGTATTTGGAGAGCGAAGATACGACGACATTGAAATGGCTCAGTCAAAAAATAAATACTGCCATGATATTAAATATGATAAATTCAAGATACCGATCAGGATAAGACAAGAAAAAAATTAATGGTTATTATTTATTGCTATAAAAAATTTTTTTAATGTTGTATTGAAAAAAAAAAGTATTTATTCTGTACCATGTAATTCTGTATAACGTGTTCAGTTAAAACACAAATGAAATTAAGAAAAATTTTATAAATGTTAATTTAAGTTGAAAAAAAAAAAAATTAAGTTTAATCAATCAAAAAATAAAATATTCAGTGTTGAATAATTTTAATAACAATTATTTCTGGATAAAGTACATCTAGTTTATTTCATAATTTATTTACAAAAAGTCTTAGTAAATTACACTTACAGGCATCTCCACTCGAACTAAAGTAAATAATTTAAGAGCTACACGTATTAAGATGTCTATATAATAGGATACTTTGGGGGACTGGAGAGTAAGCCAAGGTTCAGGGAAAGTATGTGTTGTGTTATCATTTATTTTTTTTTACTGATCGTAATTTTATTTATAGGCGGTATTACCATCACGCGTGTACTTGTTTAAATATTATTTATTTTTTTTTTGTTATTATTGTGTTGTAATCTACTCGCTGACTTTTAATAAAAAATAAACCATATGATCCCGATAATAAGTTAATTGTTGATATTTATCTCGACATTTGAATTACAATGAAGAGGCGGAGGGGTCAGGTAAATAATTCAATGATTAGAAAAGTTATAATTATGAATATAACGACAAAAAAAGTAATTAATATTTGTTATTAATCGAAAATAAAAGTTTAAAAAATTGAATCAAAATAAAAATTAATATAATTTGAGGATTTAAAGAAAAAAGTTACAATAAAATGCTAATCTATTTACTTGATTGCTGGCCAAACATTCTAATAAGATAGAGATCGTCATATGTATATATATTTAAGTATGTGTTTATATACTTCACTTAATTATATACATACATGTAATAAATATACATCTATATGTATACAATTTTGAGAATTAAATATGCAAATAAAAGCTAACACTTGGCCCATTTTTTATGTTTCCTTTAATATTTTCATCTCTCTATCATACTAATGCTTAATAATTTCGTTTTTATGTTTTTTACAGTCTGCAAAATCTTAAACTTTTTTTGTCATATAATTCACAAAAAAAGAAAAAGAATATTTAAAAAAATTTTAAATTACGATTTTCGTTAAATATTTCAATAATTACGGAAAAAAAATATAACATGATTCTCTTTGTTTATCATTCTAGATTTCTACATACATATTAGACACATTCATACATTATTTATTATTATTATTTTATTTTAACCTTTATTTATCTTCACAAAATGAATTTCAACTATTTTTTTATTTATATTTATTTTTTAAATTCATTCAATAATAAAAATGTATTATTACATTACATTCTCCCTATTACATACATAAACAAATACAATCATACATTTTCTCGTTTCCTCTTTAAATCTGTCTCTTAAATATAACCATTGTGAGTTCTATTATACAGAAGAATTATAATAATATTAACTACAATAATAATAATATTAATAATAATAATAATAATATAATCGTAATCATAATAATAATAGTAATAATTATAATTATAATAATAATAATAATAATAAATCAAAGACAAACGGAATTATACAAAGAATTAATTAACAACAGCATTGAAAGAGAAAACGATAGGAACAGAAACAGGAAAAATAAAAAGAATAATTATCAAAGAGAAAAAAAAAAGTCAAGACTAAACACTTCGCTTACAACTTCCCTGAATTACTTGAATATTTTATGTTTTAACTTTTAACATAGTCGACAAAGCTGTTTTTCGTATGTATTTTTTTACAAATCATTTTATTCCCTATACCCCAATAGTTATACATCGATTTTCATTTATCGCATAAATTTATCTCCTCGCTTTCGTTTCCTTTTATTCTTTCTTTTTTATTTACGGATCAATTAAGCACGTGAGAATAGACATACACAGACGCGAGTTCCTTCTACATAACCCATCTATCATTTTTCGTTTCCCTTAATATTTCTGTAAATATTTTATCATGTTCTTCACCTTTTCTTTTTCTTTTATCCTTTTACTCTCACTCTTCTTCCTCCTCCTCCTCCTCCTCCTCCTCTTCATCGTCATCAATCATCATTAATACACAAAATGCGTAAATTTAATTATCTGTGACTCAAACACAAACGCGTAATTATTTGAATATTATTATTACTCATATGTGTAAATGACATATCACCCATTCGAACTTGTTTTTCTAATATTTTACTTTATTTATGAAATCAACATCAATCAAACCGCATTGACTCTTTTGTCCATGATTATAAATAAGCACAACACGCTGATCTTAGATGCCCCTCTTTCACGCTTTCTATTATTTTCAATATCTCGTTTGCATATTTTAATTTATTTTATTTCATTTATTATTATATTTTTATTAAATCTCTACTATTTCGCACTTTCACTCTCGTTTACAATGTCAATACTAAGTTCTTTCTGCGTTATTCCCTTTTTTTTTTTTTTTTATTTTATATCTTTTTGTTTTTACTAAAGGTGAGACTTTTAGTGGAAACTTGTTCCACGCTTTATTTTCTTCAGCTGCTGCATATTGCAGACGCAAAAAAGAAATAGTTAATAAGATTCAATGGAAGTGTACGTTATCTACAAAATATCTTAATTACTTGCTAATTACAGCACAATTTGCATTATATTATTGTAACATTTATAATAAATCGTCAATCGACGTATATTTCATAATTATTTTTATTATTATTCGTCTTCTAGTCATTTAATCTTCATTCATTTTTTAATTATCTTCTCGCGTATCTATTAATCATTAATCTTCCAAATTAATAATCAGCATTATTTAATGATGCACCATTGGTTCACAGTGACAATTTATTGTTGGTAATTTAATTCACGAAAGTAAGGTATTAAATCTTTTTTTTTTGTATTTTTTTTTTTTTTTTTTTTTCATTTTCATTAATATATTATTAATATTATTATAATTATCATACTTATCATTATTATGCAAACGCTGTTTCATTACTTAAAAGTCTCTTCATCAATTATGAAATATCTTAAACTATCGATATTATTTCAACTTCACAAATCGAAGGTATATAAATGGTGAACATCAGACCACTTTTATACCTAATACGCTAACACCGATTATCAGCATTAATTCTTTTTTTATAGTTATTGTTATAATTAATATTTTATTTACTTTTTAAATGATTTATTTATTTATTTATTCATTTTCTTTTAATTTTAGTTATTATTTTTCTTTAATAACTCGATATAAAACTACAACTGCACTGTCAGACACAGAAAAATTGTAGAAGTTCTTTTTTACTTTTTAATTATTATTTCATTACACAATTAGTTTCACTTTAATTAATTGACCTTCATGAGATATATATTAATAATTCAAAGGTTATATATATATATATATTTATATCTCTTTTATGGTGAAGGTTAATCGGTCATGGAGCACGATATTCACTCACTTAATTATTGAATCATTCTATTCACTCGAAAGTTAATAGTCTTTCTTGTAACACTACACGCGAATATACCTTTATATGTCTTATGTCCATAATAATAACCCGTAAAATATAAACGCGTGTATTAAAACAATGAATTAATATCCTTCAATTAAAGTGTAATTATATTTTCATTATGTAAGTTACGTACCCCTAGAGCATTGGAACAACACACGCGCAACAATAGCAGCCACCTGCTGATCGAGTATCTGACTCATAACAAGTGCTAGAAGACGCGATTCATGTTGTAATAATAATGTTCTGTTATCTGGATGCCTCGCGAGATTCAATAAAGTACCAGCTGCACGTCTCAGCATGTCCAGACTTGTACCCATTGATTCTGGATTATCTCTCAGAGCAGTTAACCCATGCTGATTAGCAACTCCTAAAGCACAAGATTCAGCCTGTTCAATAAACGCGACAAGAAGTGCTACGCATGGTGTTTGAAGAGCAATTGTTCGTGCTACTCCACTGTCAGCTGCCGAGAGGAAGTGTAATAAATTAACACCGAATTCACGTAACACTTGTTCCTCACTTCGACAAAGCAACCTCGTTAACACTGAGCAAAGTCTCTGAAGTCTTGAGTAAGGTGGTGTAGCAACAACCAAATCAACGTTGCTCTCGGTGACACAGAGTTTACAGAGCGCTTCGAGGGCTAATCTTTGTGGTGATAGCGAACTTGCGAAATTTACCGTAGGAAATGGATCTTGTCCATGTGCTGCTGGACACACAGCCCAATGAAGAAGCCCGTCTAAAACCGGTCGCGATATTTCTTCAGGATGCTGACTTAAATCTGTCTGACCAGCAATATTCGCTGCCATTACAAGAACATTTTCTCGTATATGATATAGAAAGTCCCACCACCACTCATTTTCACCTTGAAGACTGCTACAAGAATCAGCAAAATCAGCGTCCTCTTCACGGTCATAATTTCTGGTTTTCTGCGTTCGTACTGGATGTTCATGATGAAGCAGTAGAAGTTTACCAAGTATACTGAGAAAAGTGACATTCTTTGCGAATTCTATTTCATTTCCAGGAATAAAAGTCAAATTACGGAGTATCGTTGAGAGACAAACACATCGTCGTGCAAGACTATCTTGACTTTCAGTAACAAGATAAAGACTCGCTTCATCTCTTGAATAACTTTCATCTTCATAATCACTTATTCGTTTTCGTTTAAGAGTACCTGCCGGATCTCTTATATTTAATTTTGGTCCCTCTTTATTTTCTTCTTCACCAGTAGTCGTAGTTGTAGTAATAGTTGTTGTTGCAGTTGTAGTTGTCAAACTAGATGTTGTTGTATTTATTGTTGTTGTTGTTGTTGTTGATGATGTTGTTATCTTCGTTGCATCGTCCTCGTTTTCTTGCTCCGGTTCTTCGACTTTTATTTCACGTTTTTCAGATTCAAACGTACTTGCTGAATCACTGAGGCCATTAGGAGTTGGAAGCGAGTCTTCTTCTGATTTCGAAAAGACAATGTGTTCGCTCATATTATTATTTGGCTTATTCTCAGGATCGCAATCTCTTTTTGAACCGTCGTTTTTCTTTTCAAAAAGCTCTCTTGTCAGATCATTCATCTCCGTTGGCTCCTTTTTTATCCTCGAAAGAACATCACTCAATGTTTTTGTCTTTTTCTTTTTCTCCGTCTGATGTTTACGTTCACCATTTTCACGCAACTTGTCAGGAGTTTCAACAGGTTTATTGTGACATTCTAAAATTTCAGGTAACGCATCTGATTTACATTCTTCTTTAATTTCAGTATGTTCGACTTCTTTCTGTAAAAGGGGTGGTTTTTCATCTCTCAAATGCCTTGCAAATGGTGCCATACCAATTTCAGATTGAAAACATGTTATAATATATTTTGTGTCATTAGGATCGACTTGCCAGGGTTCACCCTCTAGCTCAACGTCAGTATGATCCCACGGCCGACGAGTATCTAATACAAATATATCGTCGTCACGCGGCACCATTTTAACTGGTCGTCCACGTCGAGATAGGAAGGTATAATTCGAGGTAGTAAGTAGCTTTGTACGATCTTCTGCATCAATTGGACGCGATACAGCTCCAAGATCGACCTCAGGACTATCTGCATTTTTATCAAATCCACAACGATCTTCATCAGTTGTTGTCGAAGAATCAAACATATCAGAAAGAGAACGCGAAAAGTGCTCTAGTAATACATCCAGTAATCCAGGAAGATTTGTCAAACCAAAGTAGCTTACCTGTAATAAAAAGAAATAAAAAAAAAGTCAATAATCAATTTGTTAACATAAATTTTTGGATGATTCAAGTGTGAGAAATCATTGTAGCAGGTTTGAGATTCGTGTTACTCACAAAGCTAACTAGAATAACTCGAAGCAATTGTCTGCTGTATTTTTTCTCTGATTTTAACATAACCCCTAGATATCTCAAGGTTACGTTTTAAAAAAAACTCCAGAGAATAAATAGTGGACTAAAAAAAAATTTTTATACAATTAAACTTACCGAGCTATCGTCAAATAGAAGTATGTTGAGTACATCAAGAGCCCAACAACTCTCAGCAAGGAGTCCAGACCGTAATGCCATCATAATTCGCCAAGCTTCCACGGGTGCAACATCAGCGCGTGTGAGTTTACGTCTCTTGTATAATAATGGTGTAACAGCTTCCACGCTGTCAGGTGGGAATGTCATTTCTCTTTTAGGTACTGACTGTTGATTAATTATGGGATTCATACTTAATTGACTCTGAAATTTGAAATAAACATATGCAAATTAGAAAATAAATAAATTATGTTTTATGATAACAATATAAATGTGAAATAATAAAAAAAAAAAAAAAATAAAAAATAACACGAACCAGTAACGTAGCCCTCACCTGATGTGAGCCAGGTGATGGGTAAAGAGAAGAAGGTGGATGCGAGTAACGATTGTCCCATGGTGGTGGTGCGTGAGGCATTGCATTTATACTTGGCTGAGATGACGGTCTTGGAGGTTGTTGACTAGCCCATTGCGGAGTATTATTGTTTATACTACCGACAACTGGACTGACCGTGTTAGCTGAAACGGTTGGAGGCTGCGAAGGTGGTGGTTGTGGTTGTTGCGGTGATTGCGGTGGAGGTTGTTGACTTGGATAAGGTACCCTGTTATTTGCACTGCCAGGATTATACTGATTAGTTGCCCCTGGCCACCCTGTCAAGAGTAAGAAAAAAAAATTTAATTTAATCAGTAAATACTAACAGAAAAAAATTCGTCATTTTTTTAGATTAATTTAGAACGTAAGTTTAATTTTTTATAAAAATCTACAAATTTTTTTATACTTTGGAAAGTTTTACTATCGAAAATTCACACATTAATATTAACATTAACATTCAGCGAGAAAATAAATAACTTCGTAATAAATAATTAAGAATTATTAAGAATTTACCTGGATACGGAGACCGTGGTTGGTTATACTGAGGATACTGCTGATCTTTGGCAAAGTCGGGATGACGTCTAGGCTGCGTTGGGCCTGGAGGTGGTGGTGGCATATTTTTGTTCGTTGCTCCACCAGCAGGATACATTTGGCTTCCAGCAGGTGCTCCATACCCACCCTAATAATAATAAACGTTGTAATATAGTTAATTAATTAATTATAAAAATTAATATTGATAAATTATAATTTAATTGATTTAAAAGATAAAAACCGTTACCTGTTCCTGTCTGTAATAATCTTGTGGACACGAGTAAGTTGGATTGACAGGTGATTGAGAGGGTGAAGATGTTTGACTTGTGGAAGGTGGTTGTGGCGCATTAACTCCATGACTTGGTGTTGAGGTGGGGTAACTGCTATTCCTGCCAACAGGATTTGAGCCAGCGGGATAACCCGAAGGTTGTTGTCCTCCACTATATCTATTATACATGTCTTGACCTCCAGCACTATTAGGTGGAATGTTCCCGCCGGGGTAACTTCTACAATTAAATCCAATTAGTTGATATGACACATCTTATGGTAATTCGAGTATTGGTAGATACATGTCTTAGTAGACATGAGATAATACTATACCTGTCAGCGTCCGGCACATAAGGGGGATAATGCGAGCGCGGTGTGTATGGTTGATTAAACTCCCCCTGTTGAACCATCGAAGGAGCTTGCGGTCTTATATATTGGTCTTGAGGATAATTCTGATACGATCCCGCATTCTGATAATTTCCTTGTTGCATTCCTATATAAAATAATTAATTATATTTTGAATTTTATAATAATATTATTATTTTATGTAAAAAATTTATTAAATTATAAAGTAAGGAGATAATACCTTGATGAAGTGAAGGCGCGCTGCTTTGGCTAGGTGGTCTAGGCGGCGGAGGTGTGTACTCAGATGGCGGACCACCTTGATTGCCACCCTGATAGTTGCCTTGATAATTACCGTAGCCATCCATTGATGCACTACTCGACCCAGCTGCAGGGAAAGAGTCTTGAGAATTAGATGAGCCTACAAGAGAAAAAGGAATGATGGTTATGTAAATAAAAGTTGTATGAATAATTAATTGAATATTGATGAATTTTAGTGTTTAGTAAATAATTTGAATTATTACCTGGTGACGGTACAGATGCCATACTTTTTGCGCCCTTTTTCTTCGAACCAGCTTCGACCTGATTGATAATTAACTGTGGATCAACTCCACCACGATCATAATGACACTCATAGGGAAGTAGATGTTTTGCATAATGTTTACGCAACGTATAAGCTGCACTACTACTTGCACCGATTCCGAGTAAACCTGCTATATCCTTCCACGTTTTATTTTTCGTGACCTATGGAAAATTTATTAAAAATGTCTTTATAAGTAAAATTAATCAAATAAATTGGCAACACAAAATCATGAATCAAGGCAGTAAAAAATTTGCAATCTCTAATTCATAAGAATTTTAACCAAAATTTCATACGACTCATTGACGCATTGTATTCTTATTTTACAATACGTCAATACTTTTTTTTGTACATCGTTTTTACCATGTTAACGATGAACCAAATTTAATTGTATGGAATATTCACTGTTAATTTTTTCTTAACACACACACAGAATTTAAATAAATAATTTCAATTGATGAAATAATTAACAAGTGATTACTCCAGAGAGAAAAATATGACATTTTATTCTCCATGCAACACAGCTGAAAAAAGAAATGCTAGATATTATCTAAATAGATTACCGTAATCGTATTTGTTATTACAATTTTCTATATCTCCTTTTCAATAATAGAATAATTCCATTTAGCACCCAGGGTTTGAGGTGTTATGGTGTTTCCAAACACATAGAGCGACTATTTTAAGAAAAAAATGTTAAGCAATTTTTTTTTCTTAACTTGTCTTGATACTGAATTAAAAATTTTTTTTGGTTTGTTCCGATCATGATCAGTGTTTGATCAATTTTACATATAAAAATTTAAAACAAAACGTGAAAACTAATCATTATCATGCTCAAACGTGCGACAAAAAAAAAAATTAAAAACACAAGCGCGATACCAAGACATCTCTGCTAGTGACTTAAGTCAACAGAGAGATACCTTGGGTAGTACATCGAGCAATAGAAAGACCACAACAATTTACAACAAAAAAATTATGATTAAAAAACAAACATAAACATGAAACACAGATTAGAAAAACAAAAAACATTAAGACACCGAGGGCTAGATGGAACTACACTGCACCTTGCATACCTCCACGAAGCCTCCCCTATCCTTCACGTAAATGTAGAGTCGAAATAGATCGAGGGGGTTCTTGGAGATGGTTGGACAGCTTGTAATTGGTATTTTCTTTTCTTCCATAAATGCCACTAATTTATCTAAGAAATTTCTTCGTTCTATCGAATCATCCATTTCGTAAAGCTTGGCCAAGCTATCGGATTTCTGAAATAGACATACTTGAGTTAGTGTCTGTTCTAAAATTAATAAGAAAGTTTTACATCAATTAGTTTAATTGCACATATATTATTTATTTAATAAGATAGATCCATTATAAGCATCAATAATAATTTTAATATCAAATGTTAATAGATAAATTTTAAATACAAATTTGATAATAATAAGAATTAACATATATTTATATTTTCATAATTTATTGACCATATTTTTTAAACAAAGTAAAAAGTATAAGTAAATATGTTGACAAAATATGAATGAAGCAGGAAATGCAAGATATTGTGGTGGAGTAGCAAAACTACGTCATGCATATGATCCAAAGCAATACAAAGTGTCATCGATTATGCGAAGCAAAACTCATCCACATTGTCATTAATACTTATCATATGATATTTGTTTGTAATGCGAAGTGAGTGTAATGTTTAAATTGAATAGCATAAAAAGTATTTAAGTTGGAGCTTTTGTTATAACTGTTGAATAAATGTGACGAGTTCAACTTTTTTTTTTTTTTTCAACAAAATTGTTTAGTATAATAATAATAACTGGTCATTCGATAAAAGTTAGTAAATATTACTCAAAAAAGTAAAATTGAAATCCTATGGCAATACTAACGATAATTTATGATAAATATTAGTATAAATATAATAATAAAAATAACCTTAGATCTGTACGGGTCTTGAGCCACATGACTGTTAAACACCTGTAAAACACAAGAAAGTTAAGTCTTTTGCTTCAATGAATTAAATATAATTGTCGGCAAATAGCCTTAATTAATTGTATTTATAATTATTAAGGTATAGTAAAAAAGTATAAAAGCATGCAAAATATAAAAAACACTTATATAAAATAAAATCTAAAAACATACAGGACTGGCGGGTGTACGGGGCCAGCTGGGGCTGTTAATATCCGGGTACTCTTCATGGACAGAATTGATGCTGGCGGCTCCGGGCGATGGCACGGTGCTTTGCGGTGTTGTTGGATGACTGTGGTAGGCGTTAAAAATTTCCTTACGGGTCTTTGGCGTAAACGCTGGATCTTCACCAGATGCTAAAGACACTGATTTATTAATATAAATTTATTAAGACTTATATCTAAATACATAGTTAGTACTTAGTACATATTATGTACTGTAATTTATAAATTTAACATTCAACAGTAAAACAAAATACGAGAAGTTGATAGAATACCTGCTGAAGCATTTGACAGAGTCGATTGCTGAGAGCCCTCATCGATTGACGTTCCATCTGGGCCGGTCGTAATGACTGATGTAACGGTACCGCTTGATGTTGATGTCACATTAATTGCCGCGGTGCCGGACGCTGTGGTAGTTATTCCACTATCATTGGAAGTCTCAGCCGCGAGATCAGCCGAACTCTGGCTAGTTGGTGTAGGTGCTGGTGCCGGATGTGAATTTGGAGTCGTACTTGGCGGTGGCATAGGACTACCCTCGTGGTTAAGAGGCGGTGTAGCTGCGGGAGGGTGTGAATGCATTGGCCCGCTTGGTGGACCAGGTGGTGGCGGCGGTGGGGGTGGACCTGGTTGGTTACCAATATGATTCGGTGAAGGTGGTGGTGGACCCATTGAACTTGTCGGTGGACCCATATTGCCAATACCACCACCCATTCCTGGTGCATTTGGAGGTACTAAACCTGCACCACCTGCAGAGACATAGCCTTGAGGAGGACCTGGGCTCGGTGGCATACCTGGTGATACGCTATTAAATCCCATTTTATGCTAAAAAAAAAAAAAAATAATAATTTTTTTTGTTTATGTTATTAAAAAATACAAATTTACCAAAAATTAATATTATTATAAATTTACCGGATAAGATGGATATTGCACCATATTGTTCGGTCTGGCCGGTTGATACTGATTATTAGGAGGTGGTTGTGAATTCGTAGGAGGTGGATAATTTTGGGGAAATTGCATATGAGGTCGTGGAGGCGGATATCCTCCAGGACCTTGTGATGGATAACCACCGGGTTGACCAGCACCACCTCCGCCGGCCGCATATCCCATACCACTGCCCATTGGACCCATTCCGCCTAGTCCAGTAGGTCCAGGTCCTGTTGGTACACCAGGACCGCTACTATTTAATTTATAACCATGCATATGCGGTGATGGTCCTAAAGGTTGTTGATAACCTCCTACAAACACAAAAACAATATAAATAAAACAAAAAAATAAGATTAATTTTTGATTCAGCAAGTTTAATTTTGGATATACAAATAATTTATTCATCGAATTTTTGAATTACAAAAAAATGATACTAATTTTTTCATTATATCAAAGGATACGTTAATAAGTAATAACTATGGTGATATAAATATATATTTATGCTGTTCATGAATTAAAACAAAGTAAAAAAAAATCAACAAGTGGTATTATTGTTAAAAATCGATGGTTTAACCCGAATTAATTAACAGAAATTAAAAAAAAAAAAAATTACCTTGAGTAGCCATTGGAGAGTGACTCATTCGTGCTGGGCCACTACCATCTGACTGGCTGCTCGAGGGACGAGGAGGCATCTGAACGTTTTGTTGGCCTGTAAATATTCAATTTTACAGTCAATGTTCAATTATGTCATTACTTCCAATTAAATTGACATTTTTGATAATTTTACAATTATTGATTAATAACATACCAACGGCGGGGGACATTGACCGAGAACCCGTGGATCCGGTAGGTGAAGGGGTAGGCCTCATCCCCTGGGAATTTGGAGTTCCTGGGCCGGCGGGTCCATTCGAACTGTCATTACTATTTTGACCAGAGAGTTCCTACAATAAATAAATTAAAAAAATTTAGATTTTTTTAAAATAAAAAATAGTGATAATTTGTCATATTAATTGAAAACAATTTTTTATTTGACATTAAATCTAGGGTATAAATATTTGAAGAATAAATGAAGTAGAATATAAAACTCACACATAAAATTATAAGTAACAATTGTATATTTTGTGACAAGTATTTATTTTTTAAGCAAACGCAATTTTATATACGTTATCTTGAATCTATATATATCAGCTCATAGGAGCTTAAGACTTCAGGTTAGGTTACGACAATCGCATTATAACTGTGAGCGGCAAATAAATGATCCAATTGGAGCATACGTAAATACTCAACTATAAAATACATGATCTTTAAACATCAAGTATAGTTATGAAACACTCAAATATGAAAAATAAATAAAAATAACGAAGAAACATAATAATCAAAAGAATAAAGTGTTAGATTTAATAAAGGCTCCGTAGAAATACAAAATGGCAACGATGTGTTGTCCTGTGCCAGAGGTACAGTCACAGCCGTTGGCGCTCACTTCTATCGTTCCGATTCCATTTCAATTGCACTTTCTTTCTCTCATTTTATTATATTTTTTATTTTTTTCACTCTATTCGTCTCGATAACCCCGTCGAAAATTACCTCATCGATAATCGGCGCAATGTGTCTCCTTTCTGCGGCACTAACTCATGTCGTCGTCGCTTCAATATGTACTCTTCTTTCCTTTACTCTCCTCTCTCTTTTACACTCCCTTACTCTCTCACTCAACTCTAGCTTTATGTATATACACACACTTTTCTAGTATCGTTCCTCACTCGCTCTCTCCAATACATACACGTATGTTCTTTGTGTTGGTTAGTTAATATATTAACTTTTGTACTAACTCACAACTTATTTATTACTCACACTTTTTCCTTCTTACAACATATACACTCACACAACTTATTGATGATCACTCACTTATACAAGCATACTCTCATTTTTAGTTTTTATACTCCAAACTCAATTGGCTTTACGACGACGACGACGACGACGACGACGACGACGACGATGACGACTATAACTACAACGACGACGTGGGACACGAAAGCACTAGTTATAGACTAAAAAAGCAACCACATCTTATTGAGGATTAAAAAAAGGTTATCAATATATACATACGTAAGACAATAATAAAGTAATGTATGATGACCAAAAAAACAAGCTACTAAACCGTGTGCACGCGACACTGACACAGAGAAATAATGCTTATCCTTCGGAACTTCGTAACTTCGCCTCGTGAACGCGTGTCCTCGAACGACGTGTTTCTATATATTTTCTTGTGGAAAAATTTGTAGGCAAAAAACAGAGAAAGAAAATGTAGAAGCAGAAAAAAAAAAAGAAAAAAAAAAGAAAAGTTTAATAGAACAGAGAATGGGAGTAATATAAACGGCACAGCCCACCGGTCGCGCACACGCGAAAACAAAAGTTTACCTTTATCACCAATCTGAATAATGTCTAACCAATATTTGTGTGTGTTCCTTAAAAAAATTTATTTGGTTAGTTTTAGTCTTGATTCACGTTGCTACGTCGATCATAACCGAGCCACGGGTGTGTTCTTCCTTGACATTCCGCTATCGTCGCAGTCACCGCCCGTTCTCTCATATAACACACACTTGTCTATACACCACTTTATTACAGTATTCACTCTTTAGCTTGAAGCTTTAGTTACTGGTGATGGTGCTGCTGGTGATGACTGGTGTAACAGGCTCACTTCACTTTGGATACCACAATAAAGCTATTGAAATATAGATGAAATAATAATATGAATAATCCTTAATTTGTCTGTCTGGTTTAGCTGTTGCTCCAATCTCCAATCTTCAATATATTCAACCGAGTCCAGAACCAGAAACACTATACTTAAACTAAAGTAACAACGGCGGCGGCACTACCACCAGGGAGCAGCCACGCATGGTAGTGCATCGATAGTTCAATATTCTACAATCCTTTACGGTCTACAAACAATATTATTTTTACATACACAAACTTAACGGTTACTCACATTATATTTAATAAAATAAAAAATGCTCACTTAAATATTTGGTTACGTGATTTTATTACCCTAAGAGATCAGGGATCGCTTGGAAAAATTTATGATGCGCAAACGTTTTTTCCTTGCTTCCTCTAGCCTTACGCTTCGCTCGTCGTTCATTCTATCTCGCTTTTACACATTGTATCTTGTTTTGTCAGTTCCTATTTTCATTAGCTCTCTCTCTCTCTAGCTTACGACAAAATGTTCAGATCGACAGTTATAAAATTCACCTCAATCGTATGAGGGCGTTTGTGTGGTTGTGGCGCGACAGGCGTTCGTGTAGCCTCGTTCAGAATCGTGTGTTTACGTAATACCGCGGCCATGTTTTAAAAACGCGGCAAACTTTTAAAATCATTAATCACAATGTTATTTATGATTTTTTTTCAGTCTGGCAATAGATTTTATAATTAAAATTTTTAGAAGAAATTTATATTAATAAAGTGAAAATTAAATGATATAAAAGTGTTACAAAAATGACTTCAAGTTGATAGAACAAAGTAATTGATGAGTGATTGGCCAATTTTTCTATTGTCACGTATAAAATTTAATGTGACACAAATAATATTAATACACTGAGATTCAGAGGAGTATTTTTTAGTTCTTGTTCTCAATCTACATAAAAATAAAATTGTTTAATTAAAATTTAATTTATCACAACGAATAATAACTGAAATATACTCCAAATCAATATGATTAAAAAGACAAAAAAATATTATACAGTGATATCCAATTTCTAAAAATACATTGTTAGTAATAATTTTTTAATATAAAAAATTGCAAAGTGTGTCGCCAAAGTATAGATTTTTCTAAAGGTCAAGAAAAACAGACTGTTAAAAAATTAAAAAAAGATTTTTAAAAAAGTGAAACATGACAGGGGCTTATTCTATATGACTTGTGCTTCAAAAAATCGATGTTAAAATCATTGTTGAAACACGCGCGCTGGCAAGAGAGAAGAGTGAGATAGAATGACAGCCAGATAGGATAGAAAACGTGGTACCGAGTGTGCTTAAATAATACCGCTCTACAGGCGAGCGGTTAAGAGAGTAGGGAGAGAGCGAGAGAAAGAAGGACAAGTCTAGTAAGTATTGAGGATTGAGAGAGAAAACAATCTCCCTCGAGCTACGAAATGCGACTCCCCTTCATTCTCTGCAATTTTCAGTTAGTGCGAAGCACGCACTCATGTTTTGCCGGTCTCTCGTTTTATCTCTCTCTCTGGTTAAGCCGCCATGTCTGTTATTCCCCTGCCGGCATATCCCTTCTCCGGAGTACCCTCTCTTAACCAGCATTGCCGTCGATTCGCTCATGTGCAGCGAGAAGAACGGAGGGAAGGCGCTAATATCTGGGGCTCCAGCGGCCGCGCAGCTCGCGCCCTAATCGAACTATACAAGTCCCTTTTATATATATATATATATATATATACATTCCCCTCTGTCTGTATTAACGGCATGGTCGGTATCCCACCATCATCCCTAGACCAACCACTGCGTTGCCACCATCAGGCAAGTTCTCGTCGTCGTCGACGTCGTCACCGTCATCACCACTTCCATAGCACCAAAACCACTTCCATTTCATCCCGTACCGATGTATATTATATATCTCTTCTGATATTTACTCTCTCGTTCTTCCTCTCTCGGGATCTGTGTTGTATGTACTCTCCTCCACTGCAGACTTCTCACACTAACAATCGTTGTGCCGTGAGCTCTCGACGACCGCTCCCACCGATGCAGCGCCATTCGCTCTCGTCTAAAAATCACAATTTCTTCGTTGTCTTCTTGCTGCTTTTCTATATCTTCTTCTTCGTTTTGTTATTTTATTATATTCAACGTCATCTTCGTTTTCTTCGCCAGCATCTCATGAGCCTTACTACTATCCGGTCTAATGCTCTTTTTTATCTCCATCCATTCGCTTCACTCTTTTCTCTTTGCACATCATCGTCGTCCACACGCGAAACAACGTGCCTCTGAACGGACGTTGGAATTGAGAGGATCAGACAGTGACGTGAAGCATGAAGAAGGTTTTTGCCAGAGAATGTTTTAAAGATCTTGAATTATTTCAAGTACTCCGATGTTATTTTTTTTGTTATTTTTGTCTTCTTATTTATTACTGTTATTATTCTCAATATGTAAATAAAATATTCTTTCCTATATGTTTTTCTATACCTATTATTAAAAAAATACTAAATAAAAATAATTATCAGTAAATAATTGACTCACCCCAGAATCAATTCCTTGAGTATTTGGAGTCGTTGATCGTTGTATATTATGATAATTCTGTAATTAAAATAGAGTAAATAATTTATTGAATTAAATTAAAATGAATACTTATTTTAGGTTTAAAAATTGATTTATTTAAATGCCACAATTATTACCTGCTGTTGCCCAGCTGATTGTGGCTGTGGCGAAGCTGAAGGTGGTGGAGCAGGTGATTGCGAAAGTGTTCTTTGTGGCGATTGACTCGAAGAATTCACCTGATTCGGCGGTGGAGGAGGTCCCGCATTAGGTGGTCCCGCTTGATTCCATCCACCACGTTGTTCTGGATACAGAGTTGGAGGATGACTTGCTTGCCCAGCATATGAATTCATCTGTAAATTGTTCGAGAATTTTTACAATAACAAAAAAACAATCCTATACAATAATTCTACTTTTTACAAAACAAAATAAAATTGTGACTACAAGCAATTACATTGTTGACAAATGCAATTAAAACACAAGCAATTGATATCATCACAAAAACTTTTGATATATTAGTTATTAATTTTTAAGACATAAACTCACTTGATGGTGTCCATAAGGTGAATGTGATCGTGCTGGTGATGGATAGCGTGCCGTATACGGTTGATATGGCATTGGAGTAGGTGAACTGGGACCACCAGGTCCTGGATGTAACCTTGGAGATCCCTACAGATATTATGAATGAATATTAGCGGTGTAATGTTAGCACATGAATAAACAAAAATAATAAATGAACATAAAATTAATAATTATTTAAAACATGTGTTCACATAAATAAATTTAATAACACATTGTCTTTAATTATTATTATTTCTCATCAACAACAAAATAATGATCGAAGATGAATTTAATACAAATGAATTTAAAAAAAAAAAAAAAAAAAAAAAAAAAAAAAAAAAATTTACTGTTTGAGAAGGTCTCTGTCCAGGCTGTGGATATACAGGTGGCACAACTGGTGGTCTCTGCATCGGCGGCCAGGGTTGTTGATAAGACTCTGGTCCGATTCCTGGATAATTAGCGTGAAACCTGTGCACAGAACTTGTTGCTTGAAGCAGTTGATTGAGTGTTGGAGTAGGTCCAGTGGCCTGGGATATACTTTGACCAGAAAGAAATCTCGGTTGCCCCGGAAAACCACCAGGACCAGGTCCAATATGAGCAAGCCGAGGCTCTATTTTAGAAACCGAGTAATGGTCATCCATATCTGGATGGTGAGACCGTTCGGTCTCATTGAGCGGGGGTTTCGAATGATAATCCAATTGTTTTCCAGGATATTCGTTTGGTGGTTTACTAGGATAGTCGCTAGGTTTACCAGCATACTCATCAGAATAATCTCTTGGGACGTTCGGGCCAATGTAGGGATGACCCGGGTGCCCTGGATGACCAGGTGCCTCGTGAGGTTCTGGTTTACCGGTTGATTCCTGAGGATTCTGTATGACCTCCCGGGGTGACTTGACCTCACCAGCGGTGTGTCCACTAATGTCCTCACGATATTGACTCATCTCGAAACCTGAGTCGCCGTCCCCGCGATTCACATACTTGAGCAGCTGGGCCGCGCCCCGGGTTACCTTATCGGCCGGCTCCTGATCCAGCTGTTGTTTAGCACTAACACTTGAACTATTACCACTAAGTTGTGCTCTTTTCTGGGTGCATTTCACACTATCGTTCAACTTTACATCGTTTTGTTGGCTCTCCGCTTGCGTCGCAGCCATGTTCTCCCATCACGGAGCCATCATCGTCTCTCATAAACTAGCCAATAGCGGGTCCTCGTGCCCCAAGTACGATTTACGTTTCTTATTATCAATATTCTGATTGGTTGTCAATTCAGGTACTTTCGAATAAAACTCTAACAACCGCATTATCCGTTTTCGATTTTTTTTAAATGGGCCGAAATAAATACGGCCCAAAATGCTTCATTAGTTATTATCGTTTATTTAACAAAACTCACTTACGAACGTCAAAAGTAGCGTCGCACGGTGTACGCCATCTTGTGGTTAGAATACCCCCTCAACTGTTTAAATTTTACATGACAAGAAACTTTTACTCTATTATTGTGCATGACGTCGTAAGCGTCTTGTTGAAATTTACTCGTCTTGCCATCTAACGTCGAATTCTCTCTATTATTAGACACCGTTACATCCAATTCTGTTTCATGTTTGTTTTTGTTTGTGATTTTATATTATAAACCATAACAAACAAATAACATATATATATATATTACTTTAGCATACTTATGATACTGTCATTTAAATTGTTTAGCTAATGTTTGTTGTACTTTAAATTGTTTTTGATTTGATTTTTAAACTTAAAAATGACACTGAGGTATAATAAAATTCGAGAAGCTCTGCGTGATTGCACACTTAATTCTGAAGAGCAAGAACAAGTACTAGAAAAAGTTATTCCGACTGATGACTCTTATGAAAATTTTAAGAATGATTTGAATAATCATATTAGTTTAAAAACTACTATGGAAAGTATTCAATATGCAACTTTGAATAAAATGATGGCTCTTCATTTTTTTTCTGTAAGATTAAAATATCATTATTATTATTATTTATTTTTTATCTATATAATCCATAACAATTGTTATTCAATTTTTAGGCTGGTGAAGAGATAATGGCTGTTAATCATTTAGTAGAATCTCACGCTGTTATTCATAGGCAGCAAATAAATTTTCGCTACATCAAAGCTGATTTGAGAGATCAAGTTTTCACAACATCTAAAGCTTATGGTATAAATCCCGAGTTTATGGAATTTGATGTTGATTCTGTTAATGGACCAAATTCATTAGTAACTAAACTATCAGAACTTCCTAAAGGTATTTAATTTGTTAGTATTTAATTATGATCATATAAGCAGCAAACATTAGTCACTTCCTAGGTTTAAAATAATGTTATAATAAATGACACTGAAGTTAGCAGACTCCTAAAAATTTTTTATTTTTTTTTTTTTTTATTAATTAAATTATAATTAAAAAGATCTTTTTAAAACATTGCACTTATAGCTTTTCAAGTTTTTTACATGTGAAATTTTTTTTTTTTAATTTTTTAATTTAAATTTTTTCAATAATCAATTTCTAAAAATTTTGAAATGTCCGCAAACTTCATTTTCATTATAATAATTATATTTTACTATCACATGTATTTATATTTACAATCTTATTTTTAGAATGGTACATGGTTCAAATAACCATGCAATATGAACCACAAACAGCATATAAGCCAGCGGTAACTACTCATGCGATGCACATAACAATTTTACCTACTGGTGAAAATTTATTACAACCTTTTTGTATAACAGTGCCTAAGCCACCCACCGATATGTTTGATATTTGCAAAGAAATTACAGAATTATTGGCAAAAAATAAAGATGATTTGAAAAGGGAATACCAAAATCCTAGCCATTATTGGAAAATGAGAGTTAGGCAAAATAACACTATGGAGGTATAATTTGTATTTATTTTTTTGAGGGGAAAAAAGTACTAAATTAATCTTTATTTCATTTATTAATTTTTTAGGGGGCAGTGAGAGAAATAGAAAATACTTGGTTAAGAGAATGGAGAATATTATTTATAGCAGATCCATTAACGTCATCAGATACAATTGAGAGTCTTCATACAATGATTGATAAACTTGTAGCCGATGACTCTTCTCAGTATGTTATTAATTAATTTTTTTCAGTTAAATTAAACTTTCGATAAATATTTAAACATTTTTTTTCTTATAGCGAAAAACTGTCTTTAAAAACCCTATGGTTATTGAAAAAAATTACTACTTGTTCATATTATTTGTCCAAGTCAGAAATAGCAAGAGCGGTTAATTATGTGCTAAAAGACAATCCAAAACTTGCTAACAATATTATTCTTTCCATCCATGGAAGACAAAATGAAATTCTACAACTCCAAAATGAAAAAAGAAAAACGTTAATTTTAGTAATCGATGAGGTGGGTATATCACATTAATCTTATTTATTTATTTTTTAATGAAATTAATGTTATAACAGCATATGGACTATCTACCTTTCGAAGCAATGACTTTGTTAAAAAAACAACCTGTTACACGATTTTCATGTGTCCACTTAGCTTACGCAATGTTTAAAGAACATAAAGATACCATAGAGGACGGTTGTAAAGTGATTGAATATAAAAAAGAATTGGGTACTTTTATTGTTAACCCAGAGGGTAATTTGTCAAAGATGGAAACACGTTTAAAAGTATTTTTAAAATACTGGCTATCAGATTGGAAAGGGATTTATAATAAAACACCTGATCAAACTGAATTTTCAAAAGCATTGACAGATTACAATGTTCTGATGTACAGTGGCCACGGAAATGGTGTTCAATTCTTTTCTGGAGAAGAAATAGAACGCTTACGAGTTAACTCAACAGTCTTACTATTTGGGTGCTCTAGTGTTAAACTAATGCCTGTTGGGGGACGTTTTCCACCTTATGGAGTTTGCAATCAATATTTAACAGCCTCTAGTCCGTGCATTCTCGGAATGCTTTGGGAAGTAACTGATGTAGAAATTGATAAAATGACTGCAAGTTTTATAAGTAATTGGGTATCATCTTCAGCGCCTAGACCTTGGTCTCATGTGGATCTTGAGCAATGGGTCAATGGTGTACTTAGTAAGTGTTTAAAAAAATATCAATAAAAATATGCAAATAAATCATAAAAACTATACAATTTATTACGTATATACTTATAATTTATGAATATTTTTTTATAGAGTTTAAAAATAACGTACAAACAGATGAGTTTGAACAACTTCAGGAGCCAGAAATGTTAAGAGCTTTTGCTAACGCAAAGGAAGTTTGTACGCAGTACATGACTTCAGCAGCAGCTGTTGTTAGAGGATTGCCAATTAAACTTAAATATTAAATAGTAAATTCAAAAAAAAAATAAACTTTGATTTTTATCGTAAAAATTATATAAATGTCAGTCAAACAATTTTTTCTGGCAATAAAAAAGTATCTTGCAGAGAGACTCGTGTCTCTTTAAAATAATTAAAAACATCTTTAAATTTCACAATTGATAAATTGTCACATGATGATTTGTGGTTCAGGAACAGATGTGGCGATACTTTTGTGCGGAAGTACTTGTCCACCGTTAATGTATAACTCGTCTTTGACAATAACATCTTCACCAAGTACTGTAATTCCTTCCATTCGCACCCATCGTCCAACAACACTTCGCCATCCGACGATGCATCTAGTTGTAAAAAGATGAAGATATTAAATATTGTTTTCACTTTATATTTTGATTATCAATCAATCAATAATATTTTTTTACAATGAGAGAAAACTTACCCATCAAGCCATGCATGTTCTTTAACAGTTGAGCATTTTAAAAGAGTTGAACGTTTAATGCAACAACCATCAGCTAAAGTAACACCTGGTCCAATTGTAACATTAGGACCTATTCTACAGTCTTTACCGATTTTAGCTGTTGGATCAACAAGGACATTGCCCACTACGCCTTCGCCTGTGTACAGTTTTTCTGGTGACTTTTCTCTTAATGATGCAAGGTACAAACACATTCCTAAAAAATAAAATTTAGTTAGATAAAAAAATTAAAAATTGTTTTGTATTTTTATAATGTTTAAATATATATATTTAATTAATTAATTATATTTTACCAGTTAAAAAATCTTTAGGCTGTCCTACATCCATCCAAAAGCCTGGTAATTCCATTGCATACAGCTGTCTATCCTTAGCCATTCCCGGAAATACTTCTTTCTCAATACTCATAGGTCTCAATTCTATTCTATTTAATACACTAGGATTTAAAATATAAATACCAGCATTTATTTTATTTGATACGAATTCTTGAGGTTTTTCGATAAAACTTTCTATTTTTCCGTCTTCTTCATAGACAACAACTCCATACTTGGACGGCTCTTCAACTTTAGTTACAACAATCGTACCCTCTTTACGGTGTTTTTTATGAAATTCTAAAAGTTGTTTAAATGGAAAATCGCAAATAATATCTGAGTTTAAAACATAAAACGGCTCATCACTTGTCATTAAAATTTGACGTGCCAGAGCGATAGGACCAGCTGTACCCAGAGGTTCATTTTCATGTGAGAAGATTAGACTAACGCCTAGTTTTTCTGCTTCAGCTGTAAGCTCCTTTTCCATTTCCTCAGCTCGATATGATACAGCTAATATTATTTCAGTGACATTTGATTCTACCTAAAAGAAAAAAGTTTACTGGTATAATTATCATGACTTATAACTTATAAATTATAATATTTCAAAATAAAAATAAAAATATTTTATTTACCAACGCTTCAATTTGGTGCATCAACATTGGTTTATTAGCAAACTCTACAAGTGGTTTAGGTCTACTAAGAGTCAAGGGTCTCAATCGTGTTCCATATCCACCAACAAGAATCAGTGCACGTAGTGTGCCCATTTTTTTTCGTTTTTCTGGCATATTTTGGTGCAAAATAGTTTAACAAAACATTTCTACAATAAAAAAAAAAAAAAAAAAAAAAAAAAAAAAATATCAGCCTTAATAAATAAAAAAATTCCAACCGTTACTTAGTCAATTAATCTTTTTAGCATGTTTATTTTTTAAATATTATTGCAAATAATTAACTTTTTTACAAAACAATAAACAAAATTTAATGATGAAACTTATAAAATTGTTAAAGTAGACTACTTAAAATATTTTATTTTTAAATACCTGGCTTAGATTTCAGCGATGTTTTGATTTAAACCTGTTCCAAAGTCTTATAGAACAGAAGTGTCGGTTAATCTTATGATTTCTTGATTGTTGGCGATAACCACGTCAAAAGTTGCCACGCATTGGTACTCACACTACGACATTAAATTGTTAATTAACTACATTTATCAATGTAAATATATAGTGGGTTGCCACGTATGTATTAACAGTTGTCATTGCCATGTGTGTTTACAAAGGGTGCGATCCTAAATGTAAACTATAGTGAATTTTCTCATTAAACTGTAGTATATTTTACTCTAATGACAGAAAATACTTAAAAAATAACAAATAAAAATCTTCATTTCATACTTTTGTAATTATATCGATACTGGAGTGTTATTATTGTTACGTATAGCGTATATTTGTTAATATACTAGAGATTTGTGAATTTTATTTTTTTTTTATCACAAGGGTTAATAAATTTTTTTTTTTTTTTTATATATGTTACAAATTTTTTAAAAGTATAAATTGAATAATTCGTGAAAAAATAAATAAAATAAATAATACTTGTTGAAGCTTACAGAAAAACATACTAATAAGTAATCAGAAAAACATTGGTTAAAGATTTAAAAAATAGTTGATGATATGTCAGAAAATAATTTTACTCTGCCACCGGCTCCAAGTGATTTGTGTTTCACAGCAGAAGATTTTATGGCAGTAAGTAATTTTTTTAATATTAACTTAACCTAAAAGCTATATTTTAAAAATTTGAAATTTATTTTTTTTAGTTGGACTTCGATGTTGACAATTTTTTACACGAACACAGAAAAAATGCAAGCTTGGAAACTATGAGGGATGATCTTGGAGTTTACTTAAAGATTTTGAGATCGGCAATGATCGAGCTCATAAATAAAGATTATGCTGATTTTGTAAATTTATCCAAAGATTTAATTGGTCTTGATAAGGTAATTAATCATTTGCAAGCACCTCTTGGACAATTACGAGAGGAAGTGATGCAAATATGTCAAACATTGGATACGGCAACAGAGGACATGGAGAACGGGTTAAAGGAACATCAACGTATACGTGATTTGAAACAGTCGATGCATAGTTTGGGACGTGTTTATAAATCTGCATCAAAATTGAAATTAATATTAGAGTCCCATGTAATTAAATTGGACATTTTAGAACGGGCTGCTACAGAATTTAATCAATTGAGGTTCCATATGACAAGATGCAAAGATTACATGTCAGAAGATTTGAAGAAAAATTGTGAAAATTTAGAAATTCAGTTATTGGATAGCCTCGATTCTCAACTATTGTTATGTATTAAAAGTAATCATAATTGTACTGATAATCTTATTTGTTGTCTTAGAATTTATGTAACATTGGATAAGATTGATAAAGCAGAACATTTAGTGAGAAAAAAAATTGTTGGAGTATTAATCGAAGACATTATTGTGGAGAAAAATATTAACAATGAGTTACTTGGTCTTCAAGAACTTTACCAAAAATTATTGAAGTTATTGGATGTAGAATTGAAAAAATTACTGGAAGTTACTTTTCATTCCAATATAACGACCGCTCGTAATTTCAATTTTCTTGTTAATAGTTTTTGGTCAGAGGTCGAAGAAAAAATAGAGTTACGTTTGAAACAAATTTTTGCGCCTGGTAATCCTGATTTATTTTATAAACGTTACACAGAATCATTGGAATTTATCAATAAATTACAAGAGAAATGTAAAAATAACGATAATCTTGCTCAATTAAAGTGTCATCCATTATTTATACAATTTATAAAAAAATGGAACTTACCAGTTTACTTTCAAATTCGGTTCCAAGAAATTGCTGGTTCAGTAGAGCAAGTTCTATGTCATCATGTATCACAAGGATCAATTAAAATTAATGTTACAAATTTGGATCCTACTGATACAGATACATTTTCCCTTTACGGAAGTGAAACTACGTGGGATTGCCTGATGAAGACTTGGTCTGAAGGAATATTTATTTCACAATTACTTCATCAATTTTGGAAATTAAATCTTCAAATACTTTCTCGTTACAGAACATGGATTTCTGATGCCTTAAAACAGTCGTGGATTAAAGAACCTAGGCCCGTGGCTATGAATAGTAATATAATTAATCCAGAACCACCAAATCGATTAGAATTTCTTGTTTGTCTCTATACTGATCTAGAAAAAATTTCTAAAAAATTACCAACGCTTTTAGACGTTGTAGTAAGAAAACTCAGTATCTCTGAGACAAAAATTATTACATTATTAAAAGAATCATTGGATGATATGAAAACGAATTTATTATCTGATTTACCAAAAATAACTGAAGAAATTGTTCAAGAATTATTGGCAAATAGTTCCCCGGAATTGAAAAAAGTTAGTGATATTCCAAGGTCATATAGACGAACTAATAGGGAACCAACTGAACCTTGTGCTTACATAAAAAATGCTCTCGGAGTATTGGTAGAATTTCATTCAACGTATCAAAATATCGTTCCTGGTGCTGTTATTCACTGGCTGCAGTTAACGTTATCTCTTTTAAGTGAACAGTATTATTCATCGGTTAAAAATGTCCTCGAGTCAGTTCAAAAGACGGAAGAAAGTCTTAGAAGACTCAAAATACATCGTGATAAATCATCAAAAATTCCAACGACAGAAACGCAAGGCGTTACTGATGATGATAAAATAAGGATACAACTCGAAAAAGATGTTTTATATTTTGCTGACACTGTAAATACATTCAATATCGATAGGTATATTATTAAGGATTTAGAAAAACTAACAGAAGTTGTTGATGCTGCTGTTAAATCAAGAAATGAATCAAAATCATAAATAAAAAATAATAATACAAATGTTAAATTTTATAATAATCGTATAGAAAATAAAAGATTAATTGACAAATTATTCAGCAATTAAATGCGTCACATAATCGAATTAAGTTTATTTTTAATCCTCGTATACATGTATACGTTTATCGGCTGTCTTGTATGCGAGTGTAGTACATAATGATAATAATAATAATAATAATTAATAATAATTAGTGGAATACAATTATTCCTTGTGGGTAAAACCTACGATTATTTAATTAATTAATTAGTCCAATCAATATATTATTTAACAATCGATTATAGCCAGAAGATTAATTCCTTCCTAATAATAAAAATGTTTTATTTAATGAAGTCAATGAATGATTTTTATTCTTCCTCATTACCTTATGATACGTGATACTTTAATATCGGATATTTTACTGTTTCTAATAAATTTACGCATTTTTTTTTTTTGTTAATTATACCACCCAGATCTTGGTAGGAATTATATTCCCCTAATTTAGTCTTACATACATAATAATTAATATTTATATGTAATAACAATGAATTGGGTAGCAGTGAGAATGCAAAAAATTTTATTCTAATTTTGTCAGCAATGTCATAAGTAATTTTATTATTTACTAGTAAAATTGAGTTTTTTCAATAAATATCCATTTTTTAAAGTAAAATTGTTAATTATATTATTTAATTACTTGTCTTTGCTGACACAAATTAAAATTATGATCTATAAAATATTACAATACAATAACTAAACAATTAATATAAAATAAATAATATCCATTAACATTTTTTAAATTTATAACATTAATATAAAGAAAAATGTATAAAATAAAACAAATCTCATATTCTTCCTAGGGTAATTTTTTAGCCATTTATGATCTTGTATTGCTTGATCGTAATGATAATGATAATAGTTGTTTTACTTATTTATTAAATTTCATTATCAATCAAATTTAACCTAGTTAATTGATCAACTAATATACTCTATCAAGCGAAGTTTAAGGTTTGCAGTCTGTTTAGAAGTTTTATAACTCAAAGATGTCTTAAGAAAGAACAGCAAAAATATAGAAGATTTAATGGATGGATTTTGAAGAAGAAGAATAGTAATACTTCAATAAAATCTTCAAGAAATGAATTGATAAAAATTTTTCGAAAGCAAACTTTTGAATGGAAAAAAATTTACATATGGTAAGGAGAGGAAGAATACCGATGACATAATACACTGAACGATTACAAATACTGATCAGCGGAGATCAGGGTTGTCATTAATTTGTTTCTTTATACGAAGTAGTATCGTGGTGTACCACTGATCTAATCGCGAAATTGAATCATACTCCTTAACTGTCTCTGTAAAACCTTCGACGTTTTGTTCTTCGAGGTGTTCAATCAATGTCTAAAAATAATATTATAGAATATTAATATTTAACAAACAGGAGACCATTTCAAATAAATTTTAACAAAAAAAAAATAGCAGTATTAAAATACCTTTATGAGTTTATATTCTCTTGAATCTTGGAATGCTGGATACTGTTCATTGTATCTTTCAATAGCATGCTCAGCATTGAGCGCATCTACACATAAGTTACAAAGAGCTGCCCTGAAAAAGTATTCTTTTGCGCTATACTTGAGTAGCGGACTTTCAAGTGATGACATTGCAACCTGAAAATAGAGTAAAACAAGTAATCAGACACTGCCGTCTTAGTAAGTTCAACTTAATTTGTATACTATGAAATACCTGTTCATAAATTTGAATAGCTTTTTCATAATTTTTAAGCTGCGCAGCATACTGAGCAACTTTCAAAAGGCATTTGTTGGCGGATGAAATACTCTCTTCGCCTTTAAAATAATCAGCTGCTTGTTCAAAATGATGGACAGCACGTTCTAAATCTACAGCTTCACTTTCATACATCTCAGCAATGGTTTGATGATGTTTAGCAGCCATCGTAAATCTTCCCATGTCTGTATAAATTTCTATTGCCTTTAAAAGACAACTAGAAGCCTCTGAAACAGAAAAAAAAAATTTTTTTTTTTATTTGTTTTTCTATTCAGTAACTATAAAAAAATGATCAATTCAAGTACTTTCTCACCATTTGCATCAGTTTTCTTGTAACAATTAGCAGCATCAACATAATTTGTAGCTGCGTCATGTTTACTTCCAGCTTTGATATGAAGGTTAGCAGCCTCGCAGAAGGCATTGCCAGCGTTTCCCCATTTCTTGGCCATTTTAAACAGATTAGCAGCCCGCTGATAACATTCTACTGCTTCATCTACCTTCGAAGTTCTAGTAATAGAATAGAAATTTAATACAACAGTTTTTACATAGCTCGCTACATTTTGGGAAATAAAAAAAAAAAAAACATTGAATTATCGGTGGAATTTCTAGGTCAATAGCAAAAAAAATACATCATGAGAAAAAAGAAAGTTGACATTCCACGTGTCACTATCAATAGAGACATATCAATTTTTTTTTTGTAAATGTTTAAAAAAACTAAAATGTGTGTCATGCTAAAAAGATGTCCTTCATAAGAAATTTTTAACTTGTGCATTAATATGATACATATTAATTCTAACAAACTTGCAGGAAATATTTTCATCATTGCTGTCTTGATATATTTAATTTTTTTCTTTAACTATATCAAATCATAATTGTTTACTAATCAAGTGTCATTCGCGCGTGCGTAAATGCTCAACATAAAACTTCTCACACCCTGACACATCAGGAATCATTATACTCCTCTGCGATGAAACTTAAATGTCAGCCTTCAATATTGGGGTCTCTTGTTTAATATACTTATTTTACTTTTGGGTGTAAAAAAAAATTAATTCTATTTATTTTTAGAAAAAAATTGTCACGTCATCAATAGTATGGTGTAAAAAAGGCCTCAATATTGAAATGTGAACAGATTTAATCGGGCGCACACTTGAACAAATCGATATACTCTTTACTTACCCAAAGAGAGAGCTAAAGAGTCCTTTGGATGAATTAAGCTTTTTCTCGGCATCCGCCATAAGCTGCAATGCTTTTTGCTCGTTGTCTGCCATACTTGGCTTATTATTACTTAGACAACAATAAATTAATAAACGAACGCAGTTAGATACGTTCGCAGTTTATTTCACTGCTGAATCCTAGGACAATATTGACGGTGCATCCACACAATGAAAATCAAACTAAACAGAGTTGGTGAGTCAGGTAGAAGTAGAGGGGGAAATGACACACGAGTCAACGTGTTCATGAAATGACCACCTGGTGGCACTACTTGATAAAAACAAAAATAAAATTATTTTTTTTTAAAAATAATGTTGAGTTCAATTCACAGAAGTAATCATATTTTTAATTAATGTATCAAGTATCTAATAATCAATTGAACAGCGTGTAATTATTCCACGTTACGCCACTTAAATGTTGCATTTTTTTTTATTTTTAAATAAATTTTACTCCAACTTATTTAAAATCAATAATTGATTAAGTATTAACTATAGCGAGTAGACATTCTGCAGATATTTTAGGTGGAAAATTATTTACTTTATACTAGAAAAAAAGTGTTTGAAAAAAAAAAAAAAAAATAATTTTTAAAGATTTCTTTGCTCTCATTAGAAAAAATACATTTTTATAAGTATTTCAACGGTTCATATTAAAACTAATATTCTAGGGCTACCATTATTGAGTAACAAATAAATAAAAAATATGCGCAAACTCAATATAATTAAATCATTGGAGCACCTATTTTTACATTGAAACAATTTAAATAATATATAATTATCGGTCTTTTAGTTTTAACTTGAACCTGTTTATTATTAAATTATTTACATAGGTTGCTAAAATGTGTGAAAAACTGTATCATAAATGCACTTAGGCACGGTAAACCGGACTGAAATATTTTTTTTTAATTGTTGTTTCGTCGAAGTAAGTATTAAATGAATAGGGACCTATTTTCTTAGGTCGCCATCTTTTATGGTGAAGAGTCATTAATCCAGCCCTCTGAGCCATTTGTATCATGACACTGATTCGTTTTTGTTGGATTCTGCAGAGACCGGTGACCTTTCTTGGTAGTATACGGCCATCTGATCGTGTAAATTGACTTAAAATTAAAACATCCTGGAAAAATAAGATGTATTACACATAAAACTTTTATTCTTATACTTATAAAATATTAAAGATCCAAAAAATTGAATATTTACAGTATGAGTAAGATTTACACCAGCAGCACACAGAGAACATGCTCCATTTTCCGCCGGTTTGAACAATTTTTGTTGAAATGGATCAGGAACTATTTTAGCTTCAATAGTTAATGTTTTGCCTTCTTTTTTCTCAATGACTAGAAAATAAAGATGTTATTGTTAAAAAACAATTATAAATTGATTGAGAATTTTAAACGAGGTTAGGTTTATTTGCAATCCATTTGTAGAATAATTTATGATTTTCTTAATTAATTATTGACAATAATAACTTACATTCTTTTAAATTAGTGACTGGAGTAACTGATATTGATCGCTTTGATTGAGATAACAATAAATTTCTTCCAAAATTAAAAACCGATCTATTGATGGGTGTCATGATTAATGTTTAACATATAAATCTGTATTATCGACTGAAAAAGTATTCAAGTAATTGTGTGAAGCGTAGATTTTTAGATTTTTATCTGAACAAACATGGGAGACATCTTCAGGTGACTTTTTGTTACGTATCCGACATTTAAAATTTTTTGATTTTGCTTAATTTATTATAATAAATAAGAACTAAAAGATTTATATTTTTAATTGTTGAACAAGTTAAATTTTTTTGCAATCATTTTTTTAACAAAAAAAATATTAAATGCCGGCTAAAATTATTTTCATAAATTAAAGTGACAGGTTTAATAATTTTTTTAAGAAATAAATTAGTAAATAAAAAAAAATTGACATGTAAAAATTTTAAAAAATTAAAAATGCAATTTTTTAAAACAAATTTGTGAAATAAAAGAGGGTATTGAATTCTGGGATGTCAGTGTTCACTGTGGATGTGTATTTTATATACAGTTGCTGCTGGTGGAGGTAGAAAGGATTTTTGTCGGCGTGGTGGTGACTATAGATGAATATGTGTATGCTTAGTTTCTTACTTCAGGATTGTGGATTGTGGATTGCAATTGAACTTGCGCGGTAGGAGACATGCGCAGTAGGTTTTTTTACACTGCGCAGGTCCGTTGCAGAGCGGTAAAGCTTGGATTTATTTATTTTTTAATTTTGGGAAATTTAAAACACTAGAACATTCTTTTAAAAATTATACTTGGAATTTTTTATTTTTTTTTTTTTAACAAAAAAAAAATAAAGATAATTTTTGGAATTTTATTTTTGATAAATTTTAAGAAATTTTTTTGGAGATTTCAATTTTATTAAGAGAAATTATTGCTAATTTCTGTGATTGCTTTTGATAGAAAAAAAAATTAGATTTTCCCTGATAGCCAGCGCTTTCTCAGTAAGTGTTGACTTCCAACAGTTACGGTTAATTTATCCATCAAGTTGGCGGTAATTCTTCACTTAACAATAGTTGTAAGCAAATTGACGGAAATCTATGGCCGCAACTTGAATACAAGTTAGCAATCAAACTTGTAGTTAAATTTCCTTTCAACTTTACTACAATTTGACGGAAATACTTGTACAGCAAGTTTTGACGTCTATTTGCAGAGTAAGTTATAGGTAACTAATAGGTAATCGCTCGCTTTGCCAAGTCTTTCCGTCAAGTTTGCTTCAAATTGCGGACGTAGATTGACAGTAAGTTATAGGTAAGGTGGCTATCAGGGTAATATGTCCCACAATAATTTTTTATTTACCGCTATTTTTTTCAGTTCACCGCATCGGCGCCACACATCAGATCTTCGGTATGCAGATCTTCGGTTCTCAGTTTTTCCTTGATATCTGTCATTTTATTTTTTAGGCAGCATTTCGCCCCCCTGGCGGATCTGAAATACCGTAAAATTACGGTATTATACGGTAAAAATACGGTCGATATACCGTATGGCCACCGTAGATTACAGTAGCATTCTACTTGCACGGTAGAAACCGTAAAACACCGTAACGTACGGTAAAGAACGGTGAAAATACGGTATAAAACGGTAAAACTACGGTAGTGTACGGTGAAAATACGGTAGAATATATACTTCTGAACTTTCCGCACTACCGTATTCCAATGGTAACCTACCGTCAAATATACCTTATTTTAGCGATAAGTTACCGTACAATTATGGTACTTTAGCGTACAAAAACAGTACTTTATTTACCGGATTATTAGAGTATTTTACTAACAATTACGGTAAATTACTGTACAATCGCGGTACTTTGCCGTACAATCTCCGTAATTTACGGTGTCATACTGTATTACGGTAAATCACTGTACGTACCGTACTCTACCGTACCCTACCATAAATTTGCCGTACATTACCGTACTCTACCGCACTTTGGATCCGTCAGGGCCATCCTACTTACATAAATAAAAACATGTGGAAAAATTCAAATTATTTTTAAGGGCAAGTTTTTCAAACGATGTATTTTTTATGAGAAATAAACTTATTTTTTTTGTTAACACAGTAAAAAAACTTTGGTTTAATAAAAAATATGGTTCGAAAAATTGGTCTTGTAGATAAAATTTTTAAGAAAAAATAATATCAAACTTGTAAAATATAAAATAATCATCGTAAAAATTGATAAAATCAAAGTTAATAAGTTTACTCTTTCAATTTAATTATTACTATAAATTATTAGATAAGAAATCAGAGAATCGATATAAGTAAAAAAATAAAAAATTCTGGTAATTTTATTATTAATTTATAATAAATTTATTTTTTTCAGACAAAGACATATGGACACTGTTATGCATTAATGTGTTAAGTGCTATGGAAATCCTATGGACTTAACACACTATTGCATAACAGAGTCCATGTCTACATTGTCTTTATTTATATGTTATAAATTATTTTATATTTATACTATAAATATTATATACATAATATTTTAGTACATGTACATTATTTAACGTTAAATTGCTTATTAAAAACATGATTTGTATATTTGAATTCAGATCTTTTCCACGCATTTCTGACTTTAATTATTTATTTATTGAAATAAAATTAAAGATAATTGTTATAAAATATAAGCGTTTTCGTATTTGTTTAATTTGAAAGTTCAATAGATTGTCTAACTATTAAGTTCTATTTTTTGAATTGTTTAAGGAGGTCCTTTCGCCGCCAATGTAAAATAAAAAATATTAGATTATGAGTAAATTCAATTTTTTTCTAATAGTTAAGGTCCTTATTTATCTAATAGTGAGGTTTAAATTATTTTTTATTTTAATTTATCGTATATTGACTACTACAATTGTTTTGACTCAACTGGAGCGAAAGGATTTCCTTTTAATAATTGCAAAGTTAATTTATTATTTAGTATTCAATTTTTATCGTTAGAAGTTACTTAAGTGAGCATTTTCTGAAATTTTACCTGACATTTTATCTTGATATTTAAATTTTATTTAGTTCATTATTCTAAAATTTTTCTGTTCAAGGTAAATTCTTTTAGTTTATTGTTCTCTGTCATTATTTAAATGCTTGCCAATTTAAGTTTAAATGACTTTAGTTATTTATAACAAAACTCCCATTCATCTATTAATTTGGGTTTTAATCCCTTAAATGTACTTAGGCCTCAGACTAATGATTACGGGAATTTCTCAAGGCCCTCTGACAAAAGGCCGAACGAGACACTTAATGAGCTAACTCGAATATTCTCTTACTATTGTTCAAAGTACTATTATAAATTTAAATAACTACAGACTAATAGATAAGAAATGAAAGAAAATAATAAAGTTAAAAATTGAAAAATTATGACTAAGTATTACATGTTGGTAAATTTTTTTTTAAATAATATCATAATGATAAAAAATCTTATAATTAAAATCAATGAATACGTAATTAAATTATAAAAAAAGTTTATTTACAAAAATAAATACTTAAAATTTAAACGAACATACATAAATATCAACAGCGCGCTTTTTTAAAATTGAAATTGCTAGTACTGAATTCACACTTAGTTTTCTTACTTGAATAAACTTTTCCACCTAAAAACTTAGCTAAGTTATTATTATTATTATTATTATTATTACTGTCAATAAAATTATGAACATTACTACTTTTGTTCTTATTCACTAAAATACTTTTGGGAGAAGGATGTTTAGCGACACCAGATACAATTTCAACTTTTGCTTGTTGAGTTTTTGATTTTTGCAGTTGGCTCATCAACTTTTGTTGAGCAATATCCATTTGATCATAGTGAGCTTCTTTACTCCACTTGAACTGGTCAAATACATCTGATGAAAAATTGGTACCGCATTCATCTAAGCCGCAATGAAGAATAAGCTTCTCGTAAATAGATGGATTCTTGAATTCCTTCCGACTTTGCATCACCGAATTAAAATCTAAACCACTTGATTCTGCAACTTTAATATAATTATTAAATCTTGCCTGTAATTCTGGAGGATATGGATCTGCAGACGTTGGTAGAAGTTGGAAGTCGTCCTCGTCAAATTTATAATCTGATACCAATTCTTCCTTCATGGTCAACTGTTCGGGGGTTGAAGAGTTGCTCTTTTGAAAACTTTGTGGTATGATAGCGTGTATAGGTGATGTTTCCTGATGATCGTATTGCGTAAATTCATCAATTTCATCCTCAGAATCAGTATAAGCGGATGATATAGATGCCAAGGCGGAGTTTTTTACTACAGACATGGTTTATTTAATATGGGTTCAATTTAAAAAATTAATAATTTTAGGTTTAAACTCACCACTATCGTGCGTTAATTATTGCTTTGCTGAACTTTCTCCCGAAGTATATAAATAGATTATACTTGGAAATCTGCAACACACAAAATTGAAAAATTTTTTAATTCATTACACTTTTATTATAGTTTAGTATATAAAAATTTATCTGTAGAATAAAAAAGTATACTCACTTGTTCAAACGAAAGTCAAATTTGTTAAATGAAATATTTTGTAGAAAGAACTTTAACTTGGAATGAATAAACGACGTACAACTGCGCGCTACTCGCTCGAAGTCGGATTTGAAAATAAACGTTTCAGAACGTTTGTTGGGTGAGTTGGTCAGCTCTGTGATTGCGGAAGTGTGTACTAATGAGTGATGTCGCTTCTGTCGAATGCTCAATAATTTTTTCTTGCTTGGTGCTCGCGCACAGAAGATGGCGCTCAGTAATGTTAACAGCGGTAGAATTTAAAATTAAAAATTTAAGATATTCAGTAAAGGTAAAACTATTTTTGTCATTGTTTATTTCTTTAATAAATTCTCAAAATTAACAAATTTCTCTTAATTTTATCGTCATAAAAAATAATATACAATTTTAAGAATAGAACCATCAATTATTTATTGCATGTAAATTAATATATTTCTAAAAAAATTTTTACAATTTTTTTTATAACAATTTAGCTGTCATAAAGAAGAATTGTACAAAATCCCACGAGTAAGAATTTAAAGAAACGATGGATTTAATTTTTCATGGATATTTTGTCGGTACTAATTAATTTCTAAATTAAAAACAATATAATAAAGTTAACCGACATTTTTTATTTTTTAATTTTGTTTAATTTATTAAATTAGAACTAAAAAAAATTTTTTTACATTGCACTTGGAGTTTTTCAAATTTTTTTTCAAAAAAAATTAAAAAAAAATTTTTTTTGTTGTGATTTTTTCAATAAAAAAAATTCTAAAAATTTTTAAATGTCGGCTAACTTTATTGTCATAAAATAAAACCAAAAAGTTATCAGGTGTCTGTCAATTTTAGTATCCTCATTATTTAACTCGGGTCTTGAATTTTCCATGTAACAATCAATGAAAAAGTTTTTCACTGTCGGCAGTTCTAGGAAGTCGCCATATGCAGATAATCTATAAAATATGAAGATAAATAAAAACTAAAAGTTGGACAAAAGAAAGAATGAGCAAAATTTTACCGTTTGCAAAATAATTAAAATTCAATACATTTTTTGTTATACCCGAAAAAATATGGTAAGAGTCTATATGTACCGCTGTTTAAGCAATATTAACTTTTGGGCCTCACTGAAAAAGATGAATTAGGGTCTTATTTTCAACGTCTTATGGGTCTTTGCACCGATATGTACGCACTAATAAATGATTATCCGGATACATATAATTAATTAATATGGCATCTTATAAGAACTGTTTATTTATGCTCAGGCATTTACACTAATAACACATTTTCATACTAATCAATCAAATCTTTACATTATATCCTGCAATCCTATTTGATGAAGAATATCTTTATTTATGTTCAGGCCTTGAAAAAAAAAAATGAATTGAGTTGATTCTAAAAGATTTGAGTAATAGATTTTTGTTTAGTCTATCTGCTCTTGAAAAATGAAGATCATTAACATATACATTAATTTATCTTTGGATAGAATTTTATCGATATGCGACCAGTGAAATTTAGTTTGTCATCAAAACTAACTCTTAGATCCTTCATAGACGTGGGTTCTAGCTGGAAGCTGTTGATATCGCCTAAGTGATCATTCCCTTGTATTTTATTGATACAAATGTCTTTCTGAAAGGTTTTACGGTCATCCTCAAACATAATTTTTCTAAACTCTTTCATATCATTCGCGTATAGCAAATAATCTTAATAAAATTAGATAAATGATCGTTATATGTAACTATGACGAGTGGTAAAAAAATTAAAAATTATTTTATTATTAAAACTGTATTATTTTTTTATTGTCAAAATACATGGCTAGGCTATAATTGTACAAAAATACAATATTTACGAAGTAATAAATATGTACAAAAGAAAAAAAAATTATCATGCATACATAGAATACTCATGCTAAGTAATGCGCATGTTACATCTCTATATATTGCAGCTATTACAATAATATGGAACTATACTTGTCTTTTATTTATTTTTGAACATATAGTAAGAATTTTGTAAGTATAAATTTCATATTTGTCAATAGAAATAAAAACAAAACTAAAATCTTCCCATTTTTAATTAGACAAGTGTTAAACTGGTAGTCAAGTTATTTTATATGAATATATTGATTTTATAAAATATTTTAAATCCTATCATATTTTCGTTCCCGAAAATGGAAATCTCACTTCCCAAAATTGTATAAGATTAATTGAAAAAAAATATTTTTCTGTCATTTTAAATCATATTTTCAATATAAATTAGTACTGCTCGTTCACCCACAATTAAAATAATAATAATAATAATAATAATAATAATAATAATAATAATAATAATATTAATGGTTAATATGAGTCGTAAATTGCAACGTTGCTCGGCTTCATTTATTAATATTTTTGAAAGAACAATAATTAAATTATTGTTCAATTTTGAAAATTACTCAGCGATGCAAATGTGCATAATTGTAAATTAGTTTTCACAAATAAATGTAATAACGAAGCCGAGCAACATGGTCAGACTCGATAGCAATTCAGTTTAAACAAAACAATAACAATAACAAATTCAATATATATCTCTTCAATTTCATTAAATATATAATGAATCCCACATGTAATCATATGACATTAAAATATCAAAATCTAACAATCAAAACAGTCAATATAGTTGAAAATTTATAATAAATTTTTTGGCACGAGATATTTGTCTTAATTTGACTTTTTGTAGATAATTCTTTACTTCCTATATCATCGGTAAATATTTTAAAGACACGCTTATTTATTGTTCGTGTAATATATTAATATAAATGATGTATCATATCATAACAAATATATGTATATTAAAATAAATAGGCTGGCGTAGTGAAGACGATGAATAATATTGCTTCACATCAGACTTTTTCTACATACAACAAACGACGAAACAGTGACTGGCATAATCACCTTCATAATATGGCCTGCACCTCAACATTCACATAAATGTACTTAAATATGTACTTTATATGTGTTTGTACGAGGGCATATATATTTAAACTGTATTACAACAATAACATTGAACATCTTCTTTTAAGTATTATTTGGCAACAACGAATTTCACTTTTCGAGTAAATCAACTCTATAGTGAATCAAAGTTGGAATCACGATCACTAATCTGTAACACAAAAAAAAAATTGTTCTATTATAAATGTTTACAAAATTCAGCATAGTTTGATTTTTAAATCAATTTTTAATTGCAATTAAAAAATAAATCTAGAAATAAAATACTTACTGCTCGATCTGGATTATACAGAGGAGTATGTCGAAGTCGCAGAGTACTACCGAGATCTCTTTCAGCAGTGATAGGACCCTCACTTGCACTGTCACGTGCATCCTGAGTATCTTTAGAACCTCGACTCGGTGATGGTTGTTTGATAGATGTATCACCAGAACATGATCGTCCAACACTTGAATTTTCCTCAGCCAAATCTAAAGGGAGTAGCTTCGTCGTTGTTTGAATCGAAGTTGCGCCGAGAGTCGACGTTCCGTCTTGAAAATCCGTCGTACTTCTTAGAGTTTTTAACGTCGACGGTTCGAAAGTGTCATCCAGTGTTGATTCGCCATCACCAGTAGTTTTCAGTACCGTTGCAGACACCTATTATTTAAAATTATGTTTCAACCTTCTTTTTAAGAATGTCAGTTCTATACTTAATTTAACATATTAAAATAAATTTTTATTACTTGAAATCCAGCACTAACAAGTGCGCCATTATTAGGAGCAGTTGCATTTTTTACCACTCTAATTCCAGTCTCTTCAATGTATTCTCTTTTTACGTATTCTTTAGCAGTACTAGCAAGACTTGGTTTACGATTACCACCTGGCGGACCACCTTCAAGATAATTTATCAATTTATGCTCTTCCACGGCAAAAGTGCTCATAGGTGGTTTTGAATAATTCTGAGGCGATTGCGGCCCAGATCGGTATTTAGCTCGAGGAATCATTACACTCAATGTACGATCGGTGTTGGCTGTTTCATTTAATGGAACTAAAAATTACACAGGCATAATTTTAATTATTATTACTATTACTAATAAATATTATAAAAATTTATTAAGAAATATTTATTTTACCAGGTGTGCCAGCAAAAGATGGTTTTTTTGGAGCTCGATATTGTTTAGTAACTTTTCTAGGTCTTTTAGCACTTGGCGGAATCGGTGCATTTGATCTTGGTGGCGGAGGGAGAACGTGAGGAACGTGATGAGGAATCGCAAGATCCGTTACACTTCCTTCACTGCTTGTATCACCACCTGCTCCGGTACTTATCATAGCTCTTTTGTCTCCTGATTTTCTAGCTCTGTTTGGATTACGCAAGCATGTTAAAGCTAAAACGAGTCCAAGTGCAGTGAGTAAGATAGCTCCAATAGTCACCACGACTATCAGCGTAACTGTAAATATTAAAAAAAAAAAAAAAAAATTAATTTCAGTTTTTATTTTTTATTAACTATTGAAATAAAAATCAAAGCAGTGTTTACCTTTCAAATTAACTTGACAACGCTGACCACTGTGCCATGGGAAACATTCGCAAATTTCTTGACCATGAGAATTAGTAACGCAGTGGCCCTTGTAGTTACAACTAGCACAACCGAGCGGTGCTTGAGAACATATTCTTCCAGGATACGCAGAATTTTCTGACAAATCAGCCCAACCTTCTTTACACGAACACTGGTAAGATCCACGTAAATTAAAGCATGCAGCATGAGGTGAGCAATCGTGATGAGGTCCTCCCTCTTCAGTTGAACATTCATCAAAGTCATTTGCGTCAATAGAATCAAAATCTCTCAATGCAAATACTTCAGTTCCACCCAGACTATAATTACTGCTTATTAAATATTTCTTTAATACATCTTTGAGCCGAGTTTCACTAGTGTTATCGCTCAGTTGAAGATGGAATTCTACTCGAGGTGGATGTGGGTAGAATCCAGCGATATCAAGGCCTCTGTAAATATCCCTCAAGTCACTCTGCATCAGAGTTCTATCGAGAGCTTCTCGTGTTGGTCCAGCGTATCGTCGGAATGACGCAGAGGAACTATCATTAATTGGATGATCATATTTTACAGATTCTCTGCCGATACGATCAAGTCCTACGCGGAGTGTGTACGTGTAAGTTGGCTTGCAGGGACGATCTAAGAACATACGTGAAAATCCTGGACGACATATACATCTAGGTTCACCGGCTACCAAAGCACACATTTCAGATTTTGCTGCTCGACATTCTGGTTGGCACTGATTAGTACTCGGGCGATGAGGAACAACAGGAGCTCCCAGAATACCACCGGATAACACACGATGGATTTCATTACCAGCCGGATCTTGTTCATCACGAGAAACTTCTTCTTCACCTCCATATTCTGCTTCAACTTCTTCAGCGTCCGCTGCTGGAGGATTCTGATCGCTCATTACTACAAATATCGAGTCCATATTGTCTGGAGAAGTCTCATAAGATGGTAAGCGAGTTGCTGGTTGAAGAATAGTCGTAACTGACGTAATAACTACATTGGTAGGTCGAAGTAAAGTTTCAGTAACAGTTTCTACGATAGTAGACGTCATAGTATGCGTCAATAAAAGTGTTCGCGTTGTAGGCGGTGACCCTACAACTGAGGTTTCTGTTCTCGTGACTGTTAAAGTCTTGAAGTGAGTAACAGATTTCGGTTTCATCTCCATCGTGGTTGTTACATTTTTAGCATTCTTGTATACTCTAGTATCAGCATACTCTTTTAACGTTTTTGTGATCATGTTACGGAATTTAGTTGACGAGCTACCGTACTTTCTCTTGACCGTTGAAGTGAAGGTCACATCACTGGGATTGATACTTTGCTTTATAGTGTAAGGTCGATGTTTCAAAGACTGAGTCGAGTTAACTTTACTAGATGAAATACTTTGACGACTTGCTTCAAGAACAACTGATGGTTTTCTTGAAGTCTCGTAAGAAGAAAGTCTGGTGATTTGGACTGGAGACTTCGTTGATAAGCTAGATTCTGTTTGTGGTAATCTCAGACGTGTTGGCATTATTAAATTCGTTGAAAGTATAGCCGTAGGTTGAACAGATACTCTGAAAAATTATAATTTGCAATAAATCAAGTATTAAAATAATAATAAATAGTTGTTTATAAATAAAAATCTTACCTTGAAGCTTGTTTCGTTTCAAAAGGCCGAACGGTGTAAACACTAACGTGCTCGGGCTTTCTAGTTTCTACTGACTTGATAATATCTGACACGTCCATCACAACCGGCAGATCAACAGTACCGTGAATAATTGGAATAGTAGACTCAACAATATCTTGCATTACTGGGATATGACTTGTAGCTACTGCGGTTGCAATTTGTATAGACCCGGATACGGCAATCGCAGGTCTAACAGTAGCAATTTCGATTGGCCTAGAACTTTCAATAACAGGCGGTCGTGGTGGTACCATATCTTGAGATAATAATTCTATTAAGAATGGCCGAGATTTTGTTGGTCTTGGAATTATCGGTGGTACCATATTAACATCTCTGGGTACTGATAGCGGTGATTGTGGCGACGGTGGCGGTGGCGGTGGCGGAGTTTCTCCGACGACTTTAGAAGAATCTAAAGGAATGTACTTGTGCGGCGGTGGTCTCAATCCAGAGTCATTGATTATTGTAGATGTAGGTCTTGCAGTTGTGGTTGTAATTGCTACTGGGGGCGGTGACATTCCAACAACATCTGCTAGAATTGGTGGTGGTTTAAGATCACCTTCAGCGTTGTCGTTGTTTATATTATCTTTAATTGTTGGTTTTGTTGGTGGTGGAGGCATCATATCTTGAGACAAAACTTTAAATTCATTTGAATATTTGTTCCGATTATTCAATTGAGGCCTTTTTTTATTTGGCATATTCTTTTCATCTTCATGTACTGCAAAGTTTGTTTGATAAGCAGTTTCAAGAGTTTCGCGATTTCCGTCTTTAGCGTGAATAATAATCGGACGCATATGGACGCTAGGTCGTTCGGAATGTAATGTTATTTCTTCATTGTTGTTATTATTAATGTTATTCTTTTCTTTTTGAGAAGTTTTTGGTTTGGACGATGAGTCAGAAGAAATAGTAATTGGGATTGGTAGTACAGGTCTTGGTTTAGTAACAATATGTGGGTACGCTGGGTGAACCCGAGTACCTGTAGATGGTGAGGTAAGCTCGGGAGTACGAATCTTTTCGGTATTAACGTATTTAAAATCTGAATAACTGTGAGAATGATTTGTTCGCGTAAATGTCAAGTTTCTTCTGTTGGAATAGTGATTCTCATTGTTAATTTTCTGTATAGTTTCCCAGTCTATCGCAGGTCGCGCATGGCCACTGGGATGTTTAGGATCCTGTACTACAGAAATTCGTTTTTGTTCAAAAATTGGTCGTGGTGTTACAGTTTTTTGATACTGGAATGGTTTTAATTTCGTCGATTCCTCAGGAATAAAATGAGGGATCATAGTCGGGGTTTTTAAATCAATTGTATCGTTACGTTCAAATTCATCTGAATTTGATATTACTCTATCACCAAATGGTACACCTTGAATTACATCATAGTCTAATGTATCATCAGAGATATTTTTGTTTTCTTGATTGTCTGTTTCAGAGTTATCTTCATAAATCTCGTAAGGTTTTAAGACACTTACAGTGGTGTAATTATTGTTGTTTTGATTTTCTGGTGAAGTTTCCGTTTGAGTTTGGTAGAAAACATTCTCTTCAATAGTTTCAACTTTTGTTGTTGATGATTCAAGGATGTTGGAAGGTTTTTCTCTTTGTTTATTTTTATCAGATATTTCTGATTCAAACGTTATCGGTTTAATTGGTTCATTATATTCATTTTCTTCAATAAAATGATTATCAAATTGTTGCTGTTGTTGTTGTTGTTGTTGTTGTTGTTGTTGTTGTTGTTGCTCTTGTTTTTCTTGTTGTTGATGCTCTTGTTCCTGCTGTTGCTGTTGCTGCTCTCGCTGTTGTTGTTGCTGCTGTTGAAGTTGTTGCTGCTGTTGAAGTTGTTGCTGCTGTTGATGTTGTTGCTGCTGTTGTTGTTGCTGCTGTTGATGTTGTTGTTGCTGTTGTTGTTGTTGCTGCTGTTGATGTTGTTGCTGCTGTTCTTGTTGCTGTTGTTGATGTTGTTTTTGTTGATGTTGTTGATGATGTTGTTGTTGCTGCTGCTGTTCATGTTGTTGCTGCTGTTGTTGTTGCTGCTGTAGATGCTGTTGATGCTGTTGCTGTTGTTGATGTTGATGTTGCTGTTCTTGTTGCTGCTGTTGATATTGATATTGATTTTGCTGTTGCTGTAGCTGGTGTTGTTCTCGTTCTTCTTGTTGTTGTTGTTGTTCTTGTTCTTGTTCTTGTTCTTGTTGTTGTTGTTCTTGTTCTTGTTGTTGTTGTTCTTGTTCTTGTTCATCATGTTTCTTATTGAACATTTCATTGTGATAGTTAAAACTTTCTCCAGACTCTTCAGCGGTTGAATCAGGACCAGCTTCAGTTTGTGTATCAGACCAAGGAATTTCAGGTTCATCTGGATGAGGAAGAATTTGACCAAAGCTTTGAATAACAGGAGGGCTTATATCCGGAGGCAGTTGGTGAACTTGGTGATGTTGGGGAGGCGATGGTTGATAATTAGTAGGTTGAAGCGGAGGCTGCTGCATAGGTCTTTTGGCATTTCCGATCAATGGATTTCTGTATCCAATTACTCCGATAGGAAGATTTTCTTGGGGTTCTTGAGTTTTGTGTTGTTGATAATTAGTATTAGACTGCTCAGCTTTAGTTTCGTCTTGCCAACTAACTGGAATTTGCGGTAGATGAGAAACTTGAGCAGTATGAGATGGAGGTCGATAAGGATATTTCAACTTTGTTCCAAACCCTGAAGTTCTATCGGGATTAGGATAGTAAGTAGGTCTTGGTGGCTTCACCCCAGGTCTCGGTCGAACAACTGTAATTCTTGGTTTCGTTCTATCGTTCTTCCACTTTTGTTTCAGAATATCATTTGTAGCTGTTCCATTTGGCTTTTCATGGTGGTATCCATATCTATGATGGTGATGATGATGATGAGACATCTCAGTAGATGGAGAAATATCCGTGGTTCTTCGTGGTGGAAGTTCATTTAAAGTCGGTACATGGTAATCTCTTCGTGGAGGCGAAAATTCTTGTTGATGTTGATTTGATTGAGGTCTGAAATTACTGTGAAAATTTGATGTATCAGGTGAATGGTGCACTAAAATTTCTGTGTGAACTTGGCCTTGGTTAGACTGACCATGAGACTCAGGCCGTTGAATCAAATGAACATCAGATGGTCTTTTTTCAGGTCGGTTTGTATGTATTTCTATTTTATCATGTGGTCGAGGAAATTTTGAGTAAACTCGATTATTAGGAGAAGAAACAGTGTGTTGATGCGGCTTTTGAGAAGGCGATTTATAATTATTAAAAGGCGGTGCTGGTGGAATCATAAAGTCTGATAAATTATTTTCCTGTTTTTCAAACCCACCATATCCTGGAGGATTACTTTCTGGTTCTGGATAAGGTGAAGGATCATCAAAATACTGCCCACTAATATGTGGTTCACTGGTATCTCCAAAAATAAGAGCCTGTGTGCCACCTTGAGGAATGACGACATTAGCTACTTGACTCGGTTGGATGTTTACAAGCAATGGTTGACCAGTTGATCGATCTATTACGTGAGGAACTTGGTGAACTATTGGCTCAGAAGCTGTTAATTGTGTTAGTTCTGTTTTTATTTTAGAGTTCTCTAAATTGGTATTAGTAATTATTGGATCTTTTTGAGCCCAAGGTAACCGGCTATTTTGCTCATCTGACGGATGATTTTTCCACGGTTGAGTGTCTTGGGGCGGATAAAAATTTAGCTCCTGATCGATTCTGGAAGGTGTTGGCGGTACTGGAGGAGGCATTAATTCATCTTTTGAGCTCCAAGGTCGTTTGAAGATATTAGAAATCCACTCGGGTTCCTTTGAGTTAATACTTGGGTTAGCATATTTTTCAATATTGGTTCTCCCCGGAGGTTTAAGTAGTGGATCATTTTCTAAAATATCATGTTTTAATCCGCTTCTTGTTGGTTCATTATTTAAATGATGGGGAATTTTTGATGGGCGTTTGGAGTTTGAAGAACTGCCGTGAAGAATATTTCGTGTGGGCTCAGGTCTTTCGTCTTTAATCACTTCCAAAACAGGGTGAACCGGAATATTTGGTACTGATATCGGTGGGGGTTTCATTCCAAAATTTTGATTTTGATTTTCATTTCCATTTTGAAGATACTTTTGTGGTGGTCTTGGTGCTAAAATACCTGGCTTACCAATAATCACATCGCTATTTGCTGTAATAACTTCTCCCGGAGATATAGGGATACCATCAACAAGACTCGCAGCAACTTTATGCCTTGTTTCGGGTATAAAATTTGAATTCGGATTAGCCAATTGAGCAATAATATTTTGACTCTCTGCTGTTTCGATGTCACCATCTGCAAAATCAGCAACAGGAATGTAAATCGGTGATCGCTGAGTTGTAGCTTCTTGATGCTCTTGATGAGCTGGAGGATTAGAAGATTGTGACATAGTATCATTCCTACGGTTGGCTGTTGGCTTGCCCTTCAAAAGCCCCGCCATAGCAGTAATCACTGGCCCCAAAGCCGACAAACCATTTATTCCAAAATTCAGTAAGCTACCTCCAGTTGGTCGGTTAGGTCCATTATTAGTTTCAGCAGTATTACTGTCTTGATTCAATGATTCGTTGTGTGTAATCCCTGAAGACGCGCTAGTATCTAAATCACTTGAGCTTTGTTCATTCTGTTGTTTTTCCGGTTCATCTTTCTGCGGCTCTGATTCTATGTCGGAAGACTGAACAACTGAAGTTTCTGAATTTTCTATAGTTGATTCTGATGCTTCTAGAGAAGCTGTTGGTTGGACTTGCGTACTAGTACTGGACGAATCAATTTGATCTTCTTCATCGAAAAAAATAATTGTCGAACCTGTAACGACGTTTTTAACCGAATCTGAGTGATGAGATGTAGTCAAAAAGTTCATATAACCAGCATTAAGTAAACTTGGAGCTATCGATTCTGTTACGACATTTTCTACAACATGGGATCTCGAGGAGATTGTCGTTGAAGTTTCACCATCAGGACCGGCCTATAAAGATGAAAAATGAATAATTATTTATTATAGTAATTATATAATATTTATTGAAAAGTAATAATTAAAGGTATTAAAGATAATAAAAAAAGTACCTGAAGCAGCGTGGTGAAATACGTGAAAGTTGTTAAGTAAGTCTTGGTAGCAAATATCTTAATAGGCTCGAGACTTGGTGTTGCAGTTACTTGTGTGTCGATAACACCAGTCTTTTTCACCTTTTCCACGGCAACATCTGTTGAAGTAGCGACATTTGTTCGGACTACGGTACTACTACCTTTTTCAAGGTAAGTATTGTAGTAAGTATAAGTGATGTAATATGTCTTCATAATATCCGTAAGAGTATCCTCGGGATTATCAAGAGCTGTTAGAGTTGTAGTAACACTAGTTGGACGGGGCGGAGGCGGTACAGACTCAGTGATAATAAGACGAGTAATGGTATCACTCATAGTTGCAATTTTAGTTATCCCGTCTTCAATAAATGTCTTTTCAAGAACACGAGTACTGAGATAAGTATTTGTTTGAGGTGGTGATGCTTCAGAAGGCTCTAAAATCATATCTAAATAATGCTGCGGTGCAGTGACTGTATTTGTTATTACTTTCTGGCTGCTTCCTAGAGCGTTCTTTGCGTCTGGATGATCTGTGTTCAATGTAAGATACGTGTAGGTTGTTTTGAATACCTCTGTTCTTAGAGTGGGCGAAGCGGCAAGAGTTACTGCTGCAGACTCTGATCCTGGCTTTCTATGGCGCTCTTCTGTGGCTGTATTCGCGACGACCTTGAAGAATAACATTCATTGTATAGTACAGGATTTTATTAATTTCGTCACGTAGATTATTTTACTTTTTTACATTATATTAAGGAATCGTTGGATTGCTCTACGAGTATTTTATTGCAAGAACATAATGAATATCTAGTGGAAGGAATTTAGATTTATAAAAATTTAAATAAATTTAAAATAATGGATAAAATAAATTACCTGTTGGTCGGTCGAAACAATTGTCGTGCCATCTTTAGTAATTGTATTTAAATAGGTAAATGTCGTTGTGCAAGTCTTGGTAACGAATTCGTTAGGATCTTCCTGAGGCATGAGCATAACAACCTCGTCAGAAAGAGTAAGTGTGGGCTGTGGGTTTGAATTTTCCCACCGCAATGCTGGTGTAGGGCCGGCCACTATGACTTCAACCCCATTTGACATTACTCTTGTAGCTAAGTTTAGTCTTCTGCCTTCACCTTCTGCATCCTCGTTCATCATTCTAGTTTCACGCCTTGTTTCTTGTCCTGTTATTTGGTAATCATTTTTATTTTATTTAAATAAATTTATTCTGTTGATACATAAGATAATATCTGATATTTTATTTGTTCTAGATTCTAGAAAGTATTATTTTAAAATATAGTTATCATTTAAAATAGACAAAAGGAATTTATATACAGAATATAAAGAATTTAGATAACGAATTTACAATATTTACATTAGAAAGTAATTAAGAAAAGATCAGATTGATTGAAAGATTTTTTAACATAAAAATTGGAAAAAAAAAAAAAAATTAATAAACATTTAAATGAAAGACAAGAAATTTTTGTACAGAAAATTTTTTTACATAAAGAATTAATTTTTAGAAATATATTTTTAGATCAAAGTATTTTAATATTTTAAAAATATTTACGGCATGATGGATTTTTAAGGACTTTATTTGGAAAAACCTCGTTGACTGAATAAATTCCTTGATATGAAATTTAAGGAACTGGGATAGTACTCACCATCGGGTTCTCGACGCGAGGCAGTTGTTATGGTGCTGAGACGTATAGATTCCACATTGTCGATTGAGGAGGGTATGATTGTTACGGGTACTGTTAGCGTCAGTGTCGTCACGCGCGGTCGAACAGTAGTTGAAGACGTCACCTGAGTTTCTAGTCCATTTAATTTCGTGACAACGTAAGTATAAGTTCTTAATCGAGTTGACGTAACAACAGTCTCGGTAAAGATAACAGTTGGAGTTGGTTCAGGTTCTAAGGATACTAATACAGAATGCGAAGACTCTTCTTCATTCATTTTTGATTCGTCTTCATTACTTGGCAATTGCGATGGCGCAATTTGTGGAAAATCTGGTCTTGATAATGACAAATAAAGTTCATCAGAAAGACCAGCTTCGATATCTTCCGGCGTTGGTGAGCTGACAAAAGTTGTTGTAGTTGTTGTTGTTGTTGTTGTTGTTGTTGTTGTTGATGTTGTTGTTGTAGTTATTATTGCTGTTGTTTCGCTTGAGCTTGAGCTCGAGGATTCAATCTGCAAGGTTTGTGTTGGCTGGAGAGATTGATAATCTTCATCTTGGCTCATTGATGATTCCAGTGGAATTACACTGGGCACATCACTTATTAAAAATTCATTGGTGTCAAGACTTGGAGATTGTAAGGAAGAAAACGATGAAAAAGAAGAAGAAGAAGAAGAAGAAGAAGAAGAAGTTTCATTGTAAGGTTTCAATGGTACAACACTCAGTTCTTCTTCAGAATTTTTATTGGTATTTTCCATGGAGTCCAAAATTTGTTCAGATTCGGGAGAATATGATGAAGATGGTTCCAGAATTATATCAGTTGTACTTGATTGAGTCGTAGAATTCACATCTTCTGACTCAACGTCCCCAATCGTTGTGGGATAAGACTCGGTCGATTCTATTTTTTCAGTTACTGGAATTTCTTCAGTAGTTGTAAATTCCTCACTCTCATTACTCTGAGCATTTTTATTTCCTTCATCCTCAAATTCTTCAGTTGTGTGCTTTTGCGAATCATCTGTAATTTCACCTCGAGTAATTTCTTCGGTTGTAGAGGTATTGTCATCCTCTTCTGGTTCGTCACCATTTTCTTCTTCATTGTCGGAAGAAGCGGGGAAATAAAAATTGTCGGTAATAATTACTGGTGTTACATCACTTATTGTACTAGGCTCTACAGGAATTTCTTCCTCAAACTTATTTAGAAATTCCTCATCTTTTACATTCTCAACGTCTGGTTTTTCAATGTCATTAGCTGTGCCTACAAGAGCTGGTACTTCAGTCGACTCTTCTATTCCGTCTTGAATATTTTCCATATTACCATTTCCTTCAACACTACCTTCGTTATTACCATTATTATAATTATCATTATCATCATCATCATCATCCTCGTCTTCATCCTCATCCTCATCCTCATTATTGGGAATTCCATAAAATCCAGTCGTAATAATAGCAAACGTCTGAGTTGATGTAGCAACAGGTCGTCTTGTCACAAGTTTCTTTCTAGTCACTCGAGTTTTTGGTGTCTGTGTTAATTCAATGTTTGCAGTTGGCATCAATTTTCTAGTTCGAGTAACAGTAACTTTGTGCCGTTTAAACGGTGTATTGCTTGAGTAAATTGAATCATCATAACCAAAATGTCTCGATCGAGCACCAAGGCTTCTGACACGTGTTACAACAATCCTCCGAGGCGATGGTGGAATCGTTTTTTCTGGTAAGAAAGATTTTGTGTAAGGTATAAGTGGGCGTTTCCTTACTACTGTATATTTATGTGCTCTTTCAGGTTTTTCATTGTCAGAAAAGTGAGGTGGCACACGAACTCGTATCACTTTTCTTCGTTTAGTCTGGATATAATCATCATCAGGGTCGTCGTAATTATCATTGTAGTTACTTTGCTCATCAATTGAATATTTAAGTTCATCAATAGCATCATCTGAAAAGACCACGTCTTGTCTTTTTTTTTTTTCCAATAATTTATCAAAAACGTGCATCAATCACCAGCATAATACAGTAATAACATATATATTATGTTTTTATTAAAATAGTATAAGCTTTTAGCGCAGCGTTAAAGCGTGTCATCGTGTATTATTGTAATGAATCCGACTGTCTTCAGTAGTTAATAATTTTTTTGAATATTTTATTTTGTCACAAGCTATTTTTGGGAGTTTTCGTTGAGTGTGTGGGCGCACGTGCGGCAATAAAGGATATTGAGTTGAAGGAATTGAGGATTTAAAATGTTTTAAGTGTATGTAAATTTATAAGATAAGAAAAAAAAAGAAACGTATAAATCATAATGATAGTAGTAAAAGTAATTATAATAATAATAATAATAATAATAATAATAATAATAATAATAATAATAATATTAATGATAATAATAATTAAAAAAGGGGAAATTGGAAACGAGTAAACTAAGAAATGTACAAAGAATAAAAGAAGATGGATGAGAGTATCTTTGGAGGATTTGGAAGAGATTTCTTCCAGCAGCTTGATACTTTAAGCCAAATATCGTGTATTTCAGACTTACGTCTAAAATTAAATAAAATGAGCAAAGGAAACTAAACAGTAAGCTGAGATGTAAGACATTTGGCTTAAAGTATATAAGCTATTTTTTATTGGGTATAAAAAGAAATAATAGTTTAGTTATGAATAGTTAAAAAATATAAATTAGGAAGGGATTAGGCACGGATAGACGTGGAAATGTGCCGTCCGACGTCACCCACAACGCTCTCGAGACTCTGGGTCGGTGTATGTACACCAATGAATTCTTCACTGGGACTCAGACCAGATGTAGCCTCATAATGGGCCTCATAAAGTGACGGCGGGATAGACGCTTTTACTTCATCAACCAAGTCACGTTTTCTTCTTGAGATCGACGAGATTGAAGAAGAAATTTCCACTTTTTTTTCAGAAATTCCTGGCTTTTTAGGAGCTACTGGTTTATCAAATTCTTCGACTGACGCTGAAGAATCGTCTTCAGGTCGGTAATCAAGATCAGCAGGTTGATGCTTACGCTCAAGTTCACCAGGAAGTGAATTGCTTTGACTGGTTATTGGTGCAACTGAAAACAGTGGGTCTTGTTGTTGGATTGGTTGCTGTATTTGTTGCTGTTGCTGTTGGATTTGAGGGGATTGTTGAAGAAGAAAGAGAAGAGAGTTTAAATTATCATTTGGTACTGCTGTAGGAGTAACTACTATTGTGTCCGTAATGAATTCAGTAGCTGTGACAACGTCTGTGACTGAATCAACGAGAGTTGTTAGAATTTGTTTACCCCTAAATGTCAAAGGTACTATTGTACTTTGTTCTTTAGTAATTGTTGTCACATAAGAGGTTGTTCTAACGTTATATTGAGTCATTGCTGTCGCTTGAATGTTAGGTGCTTGAATATTTCCGAAATTTGGAGCCTTAGGACCAAATTGACCTAGCAGCAATTGTGACAAAAGTATATTTGCAAGCGGATTATTTTGATTATTAAATGCCGCCGCTGGAATAGTTGATACTACATTTTCGACAGAATAAACAGTTGAAGGTACAATTGTAGATTGCGAAACACGCCGACCACGAGTTGTAGTTAATGTATACGATACTCGGGAGGTAGGTGTACCGTGTAAAAGAAAACGCGTTACTTCAGTCTGACCAAGTGGGTTTAATGAAGTTAATTCACTGTTAAGGACAAGAAGTTGCCGCCCATCACCGCCGGTGACAGTATTATAAGCATCCGGGTTGACTACTTCAATACTTGGACTAGCTGTAATGATACTACGATATTCAGTAGTGCCATGGTTTACTACAGGCAAAGTGACTTCTGTTGGTACATAATGAGTCACAGTAATTGGAGTATCGTCTCTAGTTAAATCTTCTCGCGATGAACCTCTGCCTCTTGTTGGTAATTTTCGATTAATATTTCGAGATCTTGGCGATGTCCAGGATGTAGGACCTCTTCGAGAATCATAAGACTCGGTTGTATATCTTCCCGAAGTTCTTACTCTTGAATTTGGTCTTCTGAGATTGTCCTGTTTGACAGTAGGTCGTTTATTGTAAGAAGAATTTTTTTCTCGTAAAGTGAACTGTCTTCCTATTGAAGATGTAGGAGTAGGTTTTACTCGAGTATTAGTTGGTCTCCTGTTTCGCGTATTGGAAATTTCTCCTGAATCACTGGAATATTTTTCGGTACTACTTTTAGCACTGTTTCTGGATGAAAGAGCCCTTCCTCTTACGGTGTATCGAGTTGAAGGTTTCGTAGTTTCATCATCGTCTTCATAAGTATCGTCATCCGATCTGTCTTCGGCCGAAGTATAAAGATTTCCTGGTCTGCGGTATCGATTTGCGTATCCACGTTGAGGTGCCTGGCGTTTTGATCTTCTTCTTTGGGAAGTAAATCTGTTACCATATGTAGGTCTTGATGTTGTAGTGGATACATCATTTTTATTGGGAATACGACGTCGTTTATTGTTTTCTGAGCCTTCGTAATCGTTGTCAACTATTTCTTCGACTAATTTTTCATTTTCAAGATTTGTATCATCATTATCTTCGGGATTTTTCAGCCCTTCTACTGGGTCTAGTTGGCGTTGATTTATGAAGTTTCGAGGTGGGAAAAGACGATTACTACCTCTAGAACGAGGAGAGAATGGCGGAAGCGTTGGAGAGTTGAGTGATCGAGCGTTAGACGATCGAAGACTACCGGTTGGAGTTTTTGGAGTAGTTGTTGTGGATGAACTAGTAGTTCGTCGTGGTGGAGGAGTGCCACGAGATACTGGAGCTAATGGTCTTCTGTACTTAAGAAGTGGGTTAGTAGATCTTCTTGAAGACTCAGTGGTTGTTTTAACCGGTATTGTAGTAGCAGTTTCTTCAAAATCTTCAAATTCTGTCGGAAAAGGTGTCTCTTCTGTTACGAAAGTCGTTGCAGTGAATTCATTCGCTTCATCTTCTTGATCATCAGATTTTGTTACTGGGGGTATGGTTGGACTAAGAGTTTGAGACGGCTTAAGTAATGTTGAAGATGGTCTGATTCCAGTTCTGAATCTTGAAGATGATCCAGCGAAAGACGAACTAGATACTCTAACAGCTGGCCTTGCTGAAGATCCACGGACAGAACTAGGACCCCGTCGAGAGAAAGAAGACGTCGATGAAGGAGAGAATCTGCCTGAGCTTTTACTGCGAACACTTGAGGGTGTGGTGAGCGATAAGTTCCCTGAACCTTTTCGTCCAGAAAAACGTTTTGAAGCATTAAATGAACTGGTTGAACTGGCTGAAATAGCTGGTCGACTTCGTGAAGACGCAAAACGATTACCTTTAGTGGCCGCTAATGATGCTGTTATTGTAGGTGTAATATCAGTACGGGTAATGGTTGTAGCGGCTTGTGCTCCTTTTCTTTTTGGATTAAACGTCGGTCTACTTCGAGACAAAAATGGTCTAATGGCAGGAGTAAATGTGCTTTTACGACCGGGGTAGGTAAGACGAGACTTTTTCTTTGGTTTCTGATCATCTTCATTCTCTTCTTCATCTTCTTCTTCACCTCCCTCATTTTCGTCTTCATTAGTTGAATCATCATCTTGATTTCCTTCAGATAAAGACGACTGAATCACCACTGGAGTAGGAGATGGGAAACCTGGTGCTTGAGAAGCCAAAAATGATGTCGTTGCTGTCGGAGAAACTGTACTTGAGCCTTGAAGGTAACTAGATGTACTTTCAATTATTTGTGCATATCGTCCCTCAATGCTTGTTCCAATTACTTTAGACTGATAAACAATAGTTACACTATCAGATTCTATTTGTCCTTTAATAAGTCTCACTAATCCAGTTCTATGACGCTCTTCTGGATGTTTCAATGTAGCTTTTCTCTCAGCATCTATTTTTGTACTTGAAGTGCTTTCAATAACTTTAGCGTAAAGCCCGTCAATAAGCGTACCAATTTGGCTAGTAGCAAAGTAAACAGTCGTCACTTTATCGGCGTCAATAATACTACCTTTGTTTAATGAAAGAATTCCAGTAGGAAGAGCTGGAGTAGCTGAAGAAGCTGTTGATGAAACTAAAGTACTTGAAGCTAAAGGCTGAGTTTCTAGACTTGTAGTGCTTTGTACAACCTGAGCATACAATCCATCAATGTACGTTCCATAAATATCTGTAGAGTAGTGAGTTGTAGTTCCATTACCAACCTCGCTAGATTTGATTGTTGATACTAAACCTGTCTTTGGTTCTTCAACTACTTTTGTGGGCGTCACCTCAACAGTACGCACTTTTTCTTTTGTTTCAAGATCCTGCAGCTGTGATGGTACTGTTCCAATGGCTCTTCCTGTTGGTTTAGGAATATCCCCGAGTGCCACACTTGTAATTGTTTCTAATCTAGAGTTAAGAATGGTTTCATTTCCAATATAAGATGTAGTAAAGTAGGTAAAAGTTGTGTAATATGTTGTGGGCTCTGGATTGATCGTTGATACATCAATGACTGGTGAATTTTCTGGCGAAGTGTAAATGATTTCTTTGGGAGAAGGAATAGGGCTAGTGCTTTTTTCTTGTTCCATAACTTCATTATCGGCAATTGCTTTGTCTGTCGTTTCTTCATCATCATCATCATCATTAGAAAATGAATCAGGCCTATAAGTCATAATAACACCCAATTTAACACTTGGAGTCGGTGATACACCAGGAGTAACTACGTTGCTTACAGTTTCTTCCCGACTGGTTGTTATCGTGTCTCCAGCGCGATAAAATGTCGTCCAGTATGTAAAAGTAGTGAAATAAGTAACAGGAAGAGTACTTGTTTCAGTTATCGGTAATTCAACCGCAGGTGTGGGTCTTATCGTTTCTGTCACCACATTCGTAACTGTCTCTAATCGAGACACAACGTTGCTCGCTTCACCTTTGTACATTGTTGTAAAGTATGTAAATGTTGTGTAACTTGTACGAAGAAGAAGCGTAGGCGGTGGTTCTACCTCGTGATTATTCGACTCTGAAAGTTCTTGATCGTCAGGTGCATTACCAGCATTTCTTT